GTATGCCAGGCATTGTTCTAAGCACATCACATACACTAATTTAATGCTCATAACAACCTGACAAACAGGTAGCCATTCTCATTATCCCACTTTACACATAAGAAAAAGGCAAGGGCATGACTTGTCCAAGATCCACCTAGGAAGGGATGCTGCTGGCTGCCTGCCCCCATGCTGTCTGGCAGTAATCTCTGTGCCACAGAATAAGGTTGGGAACTTGAGCCTCTGCCCACACACACACACACACACACACACACACACACACACACACCTGCTCACTCTTTTCTGCTCCCAATCTCAGTCCACAACGCAAGTCACCTCCCAGGGTAGGGACAGCCCTTGGGGGAGGAAGCAAAACAGCCATTGGCTATTAAGAGTCTTTTATGGCCCTAAGGCTCCCTCCCAGTGACTCCAGAGCACCCTCTGGGTGTGGAGGGATGTTGGGGTTGTAAATCAAGCATCATTTGCCTGACTTGACACCATTACTTAAGCTCCTTGAAGAAGACCCTTTCCCTTGTCTGAGGACTCTCTTTCTGTGTCCCTTTTTCTCCCTCCTGTGCCCTAAATGAAGCTGCTCCAGGGACAAAGTATACAACTTGGTCTTTTCGCTTTCCCCTGCCTTAGCCTCTGCTCTGCAGACCGCCATCCTTCATGACCAGTGTCCTTCTAGACTTTCGTTCTTGACCACTTTGTGACCACCTCAAATGTAAACTGTCTGAAGCCAAGCTATGTCCCCCCACTGCCACATCCATACACTCACACACACACACACACAGCCAGCCTAACACCCCTGCTTGAGTCACTGTCCCTGTAATGCTCCATTGCCATACCCAGCAGTCCCTCCTGCCTTTTTTCTCCAGCCTCCTGCACTATGCAGAACTTGCTCCTGCAAAAGTGGCCACCCAGTACATTTCCTCCTGTGCCGACACATTCACTGCTCGCCCCGCTGCCAACTTCCCCTTCTGCAAACACTGTCCCCGTGACGTTCCTGGGACCAGAAGCCACGATGACCTCTTCGACCTCAGTCCTGGGATTACTGGGTCTCCCTGTTCTGCCCTATTTCTCTTTCTTCAACTCTACACATCCTGTGGGCAAACTCAGGATCCCCTCTGTGCGTGCTTCTCACCGTCCTACCTTCCTAACCTATAGGGTACAGTGCTCAGTTTAGGCTTTGGAGTCACAAAGATCTGGCTTTGAATCTGTCTCCATTTACGTGCTCTGCGATCTTGAACAATTGACTTAACCTCTGTACTTCTCAATTTCTACATCTGTAAAATGGGATTCTGGGGTTTAGATGGGATGGTTGTTGAAAAAAGAAAGAGGAAGGGAGGGAAAAGAAAAGAAAGAAAGAAAACAAAACAAAACAAAAGAAATGAAAAGAAAAAGTATTTCATGTCGAGAGCCTGGCCATACTAAGTGGTGCACTCTGACCCTTCAAGTCCCAGTTCAGGTGCTTCCTCTTTCAGAAAGCCCTCCCTGTTTACAGTGACCGCTTTCATCCTGATTTCATGTCTCCCGGTGCAGTGGTGGTGAACCTATGGCCCACTTGCCACAGCAGGCTGTTCGTATCACTGGAAGTTCTAAAAGGTTCACCTTCACTGTCCTAGTGTTTTGTCCTGTCTTGCCCCACTGGTCTCTGTGGAATTTTAGGCAAGTTCCTTTGTCTCATATCTTGGGTACTTCACCTGTAAAATGGGTATAAAAATGTCCACTTTGTGGGGTGGAGAGTGAATACATGTGAAGTGCTGGACAAATAGGAAGTGCTGCCTGCTGAGTGAGAGTACGCCTATAATCTCAGCATTCGGGGAAGCTGAGGCAAGACAATCACAAGTTACAGCCCAGCCTGAGCAACTCAGCAACTTAGCAGGACCCTATCTCAAAATTTCAAATTTTGAACAGGGCTGGGTTTGTACCTCAGTGTGAAGGCCCCAAGTTCAACCTCCAATATGGAAAAGGGGGGCTGCTGCAGAAGTGTTAAGGATTATTAGTTTTACTACCATTCCAAGGTATCTTCTTTCCCCACCCCTGTGTTCCTGATAGACCATAAGCATCCTGAGCGAGGGCAGAAGCACTACTTCTCTGTGGCTTTGCACAGCACCTGGCTTACTGCATGGCACCTGGCAGCATGGACTTCCAAGCCCCTTCCCTGCCCTGAACACCCTCCTGTTTCTCTTGGGCCTGTGCCCTCTCAGAGTCTCCCCCAGGGACTCAAGGGAGTCCCTTTCTACTGTGCCTAACAGCCTCTCCTCTTCCTGAGCAGCTGTCCCAGTCTCAGTGAAGGACCTCGGGGCAGAGTGCAGCTCCATGGAGCCAAGAGGCAGCCTTCTACACTGACACAGGCCAGGGGCCAGTGCTGGGTGTTTATGGCCTGTCCCATCGACCCACACAGCTCGCTCTTTATCTGTCTTCCTGACACACCTAATTACCCAGGTTGCAGCTGCCAGCAAGTTTGCTCTTCCTAAATCACGGGCTCCCATCCCTCCTGTTGCCCAGCCCTCCGGGCCTCTGCCTGCAGAAGGGCTGCCATTGATTTTACCGTTCCCATTTATGATCTACAAGGCTCTGCACCACTGTTGCACATTTTACCTTAATTAGTTTATTCTTCCGGGCATCCCTGGTGAGCTCAGAAGCCAAGAGGCTGGCAGGGGGTGAGGCCAACAGCACATGGCACCCAGACTCGTCTGACCACAAACCCCAGAGCCTGCTCAAACAAGAGCTCCCTAAAGCAGCAACTTTCTAAGAACAGTGCTGGCTCTGCAGGTTATTAATAGGTGATCCTTAAAATGGGGTACCCTTACCACGTGTGTTTGGGAAAGTCTGGGCTCGATAACATTAAGCAGGTAATTTATTTTAGAACTTTACTAAGTTTTAATAGACTGATGTCTATGGAGAATCTCCAAGAGTTGGGCACAAAGTCTTTCCCAAACTCAGATGAACATGGAATCCTTTCTCTGGGCAGCTCACAGAAACCACAGTCCCACAAGTCACCCTTTCAGAAACACTGCCCTTGATGGACAGGACGAATTGGGGATAATGAGGTCAACAGAGGGGTATAGAGTCCCCCTGACCTGTTTTGTCATCTCCTCTAGCTGAAATAGAAGCTTGATGTCTTCAGAAATTTCTCCCACTGAATCCAGAGGTGCTCATGAGAGCACAGCAGGTTCCAGCTGTGGGCAGCCAATCTCTCACCTGGCCCAGCTCTGCTGGAGTGTAACCAAGGCATTTAGGAAGGGACCATGCTGGCTAAGGGGCCCTGAATTGACAGAGTTGGCCAAAGGTTGCTTGCTGTTGGTGAAGGCTGGAGAACCAGGAGCCTGCAGGAGCTGTGGCCCCCAAGCATCTGGAAGTGATAACAAGCCAGCTACTACCCCAGAACCACCATGATAATGGCAGCCCAAGTCCAAATCCCTTCTACACAATCCTAAAATTCAGGACTTGGGAAGCCTCAAGTGCTTCTTTTTAAGTTTGTGGGAAATTCAGTGGATAGCAAAACTTGTCCTGAGCTGATATGAGCTATTTATAAGCTTTATTTATCCTATTTAATGTGAATATTCATGCTCCACTGCAGAAATATTAATGTGTTTAATTATGGGGTGCCACCCCCAGTCCTGCTGGGGTGTTATATAATCAATAGTGTGTGTACTGTGCCACCTTTCTGAAACATGAAGGAAAAATCTAAATTTCTAAACACAGTGGGCCCCAAGGGATTTCAGTGAGGGGTTGTGGACCTGCAGTGTTGCAAAGCTGTCACTGTGCTCTCTCACCCGGCCAGACCTGTGACCAGGGTCACAAGTGTTCCCTTAATGACTGCTATTATCCACAATTCTCAGATGAGGAGACTAAGGCTGGAAGCAGATAAAGAATTTACCAGCACCTCAGTTTCCCCCAGAGCATCCTTCTCAGGCCACAGCTCTGTGCAGACCTGTATCCACCCCACTACAACAGCCCACAGAGCTCCCAGGTCTGCCTCATGAGTGGCCTTCCCTTCATGGCAGCTCAGGGCCTCAGCTCCCCAAGTGTCAGGCAGAGACACGATGGCTCTGCTCCAGGCACCAGCTTCCTGTGTCTAGCCTGCATCCCTGACTGCGCCTATGATCCTGGGGCCCCATGGGTCCCCTGTTCACAGGAGGTCTCAGATGAGGCCCCTCCGAAACCAAACCTTTCGTCCTTCCCTGGACTGAGCCACCTGGGGGCTATTTGTACACAGCTCGTACTTGCACACGCACACTTGTACTCACCTCCCTTACACTCATTCCTACACACATTCTGACACTCTCCCACACGGCTAACCCACCCTCACACACTCGCCCTCATGCACTGCCATTCTTGCACCCTCAGCCACACACACGCTCACTCCCGTGCTCACACAATCACACGCTTGCTCTCACATACACACTCACTCTCAGAATCACTGACTCTTACCAAACCCCTGGCCTGCCAAACTTGTGTCTCTAAAGGAAGGACCTGGGAGAGTAGTTCGTCTACAAAATGGGGAAAATCATTTCTGCCTAATAATAGCGACCGTGGCGGGGGGGTTGGGGGGAGCACTGTGCTGAACCTTCAGTGTGTGCCATCTCATTTATTCCTTGCAGTAAACTTGAACATAGTTATCATTGTCATCCCCATTACAAGAAAACTGAGGCTCAGAAATGCTAAGCAACTTGCCCAAAGTCTAGGACCTAGGAGGAGAATCTGGGTAGAACTGAGAATAGTACTTGGGCTCATTTACTCTAAACGCCAAGTTTATAACCACTGTTCCATGCTGTCTCTCTCAGCCTACGCCCACTGCCTCTTCCCTGGACCACCCAAAGAATCACGTTTGCAACTGGAAACATCTGAGTACCCCAGAGAGGAATGTCAGCTGCTTGAGGTCTTCCTTGCTGCTGATGGCCCATCCACTTTTGTCCCAACCACCTTGTGCCAGGTGCTAGGGACATACCCAGAAGTTAGAACATAAACCCTGGTCCACTGTCCACCAGCCCTCCTTTCCTTTCTCTCTCCAGGGGTGGCCACATACACAGACAAGTTGTTCAAGTTCCGTAATAACCGATGGGAAGACATCCTGAGTGACGAGGTCAATGTGGCCCGTGGTGTAGCCAGCCTCTTTGCTGGACGCTCTGTGGCCTGTGTGGACAGAACGGTGAGTACAGGGGCCTGGAAAGAAGCAGAGGGCACAAAGTGATATAAGAGCCAGGAGAGGTGCTGCCAGGTTGATGTCCCCTGACAGAATGGTAACAAGCCACCATAGTGTCTTGCACATAGAAGGTACTAAATACAAACAACTAAGACTGGCAGGATGAGTTATAATCCTTTCACATCCTTTCTGCCATGGCCCTACCAGTGACTGTGAGGAAGTGGCCAGGGATGTCATCATTGTGTCCATTGGACACTGGAGGGGACTGAGGCACATCTTGGAGTTACATCTCATGGCTTGCCTGGGACCCAGAATAGATTGTTGGTATGGCTAGGACATGAAGCAGAATCTTCTAGCTCTAAATCTTGAGCTCATTCATTCATGTTAACATTTAGTAAGTACCTCCTATGTGCCAGGCACTGAGCCATGGGCCCTCTGTAAATGTTTATGGAACAAATGAAGGCACAACAGAGGACTCATGGGAACAACAGTAGTTTTCTGAACATATAAGAACATTAGTTCATCAATGACTCCATCAACAGCCCTGTGTACTGCTAGTGCCCCCACCCAGAGGTGCAAGCCCAGAGTGGATGGATGGAAAATATAACTAATCTGGAGGGGCCAGAGCAGCTACAGCCATCTGCCCTGTGTTAGGGGTAGGGGGTCTCCCAGGCCTTGGGCCCCAGCAGGTCCAGCTAGAGCCAAAGGTTCACTGTAGAGGTGATTTATCCTTCCTGTCACCTGCCCCCCTCCACCTACCTCTGTGGCTTTACAGTCATCACTGCTTCAGGGGCCCAGCTGCTACCCTGCTCCTGTGGGAGCATCTCTGGCATCCATTCTGGGATGGGGCGGGTGGGGCTCACTTTGGATTGAGATGGCACCAAAGGGATTGGGGATTCAGTGTGAATCTTCACAGCAGGGGCCTCCAGGCCTTGGGAGAAAGCAGGTGCCAGGTATAAATATTTATTTCTTAACAAGCTGGTGCTGGGAGGAGAAGCCAAGCTGGTCTGTGAAGCCACATTTAGCCCTGACCTGAATCTGTGCCACCTGGACTTCTGCCTCATGGAAGGGGATGTGAGGCAGCTCTGGAAAGAGCCTGGAGAGTGGGGGGCTAGAGGCATCAGGCATGGTCACAGCTAGGAGCTTCTTCCCCTCTCCTCCTGGCTGCCCACTGCATGGGTCAGGACTAAGCTTCCATACTGGCTCAAGTGGGAACATTCCCTGAGAACTATAGGGGGAGGCATGAACCTTAATCATAAAGAGATGCACTCTTTGTCCTAACAAGTCATCTGTATACCCACATATTTAACCACAGGACAAAGATACCATATGAAATTTTTTTAAAAGGCAGCCAGCACCAAGGTGGCATTCAGAAGCTGCCTGCTTCCTGTTCAGCCTGAGTCCAGCCTCCCAATCAGCCAGGAACCAGAGAGAGGCCTACACAGACAGTCTGCCACCAGAGGAGGAATTGCCTTCCCAGTCCAGCCACCACCTTGGCAGTCTCTGGGGCATCAGGAACTCTGAGGGAAATGTGGAGAAAGGCCAAAGCCAGAGGGGAGGCTAGTGGCAGGATTGAAGTATAAAATGAAAACACTTTGTGTTTGTCCAACTAATCACATGCCAAGCTGTGCATCAAGTGTTACAGGCCTCATTTTATGATCCTTATAGTCACCCTATGAAGTAGAGGCTATCGTCCCACTTTACAGATATGAAAACTAAGTCTTTAAGCGATTAACCAACTTGACCTTGGTCACACAGTAAGTGGCAGGCAAAGTCAGGAATTAAGTCCTGCTTCCCTAAAGTGAAGCAGACAAGTGTCTACCCCTCTGCTACCCTGGATGACATGATATGACATAGGTTTCTAACCACAGATTCTATTACACCATTCATTCTACTCTCCCTCCCTTAGCCCCACAGCCCCTGCCTCAGGCTTTCAGTCTCTCTTCCTTGTCAGTGGTTCTCAAAGTGTGGTCCCAAGACTAGCAGCATCAGCATTGTTAGAAATGAAAATTCACAGGCCTTGCCCCATGGTGCCTTCCAAACCCACTGAATCCAAAGCTTTGGGGGTGGGGCCCATCGACCTGGGGTTCAACTCACCCTGGAGGTGATTGTGATGCCTGCTCGACTTTGAGAGGAGCACTTGGCAAATGCATCAGCCCCTACTGAGAGCGCTGCTCCCCTCTTCCTGCTGCCCCTTGTTCATTCTCTGCCCCGAACCTGGAAGATGTTTCGGTCCTCATCTTCAGCTCCCTCATCATTCACCTTTCTGGATCTGACTCAAAGCCGATCTCTTACAAGAAGTGTTCCCTGGTCGATAATGATTATGCCTCATGTTTATATAGCATTTTTATCTTTTCAAAGACCTTTCACATCCGTTGTCTCATTTCATCTTCTCAACAACCCTGCCAGGAAGCAGGGAGAATCTGATCCCCGTTTAACATGTGCAGAGACACAGCCTGCAGACGGTGAGGGATGTGCCCAAGGACACGGAGTCAGTTAGGGGCTGAAGCTGGACTTGAACCCAGGCTAATTGACCTAGGCCAGGGGCTCTCAAAGTGGGGTTCCTAGGCCAGTAGCATCAACTTCATGAGGACTTGTTAGAAATGCACATTCTTGAGGTCTCCCCCACTCAGCCTACTGAATCCAAAACTCTAGGGGTGGGGCCAGCATCTGAGTTTTCACAAGACTTCCAAGTGATTCTGATACAGGTGAAAGCATGAGAATCATTCCCCAGTGTTTCTGGAGAAGCATCCTCCCTCCTCCAGAGTCACCTCACCCTTTTAGAATTTTTGCGGTTAAGTTCACATGTGAATTTCTGCAATATTCTACAACTACAACACATCTATGTTTATCCATTTTATCACTCCAGTAAATGAAGTAAGGAACTAGGTATAACTGAATTTTATAAATCTCCTAATTTCTAGCAGAGTGCATTTCAGCCCATTTGGGCTTAATTGCCCATTTGTTGAGGAGCTTGCTAACAGCTGGTGGGGTTAGGAATGGTTCACATTAGTGCACTTTCCCACTGGGCTCCTTCACTCATTCTTCATCCAATCATTCTACACGTGTGTGAAGCTCCTGCAATGGGTAACAACTTTTCAAAATTACCTCTTCATCGGTAAGTCACACTGCAATGCAATGCATCTCAAACTTAAGTTTTTCCTAGGAGTCTCATAGATTAAATGCAGATTCTGATTGAGGAGGTCTGGGGTGAGGCCTGGGACTCTATTTCTAACCTGCTCCCTGATGTCACCAAGTCTGCTGCAGGTCTTGTTACTTTAAGAAGACTTGTAAAGCATAGATTTCTGAGTAACAGGATAGAGACCCAGATAACCAAGACAGAAGGAGCAGCTAAGTCTTTGAGGAAGAGTTTTACCACCTTCTCCAGCTTCGTCCCTTCACACTTCCTGCCCTGCATTGAACATTCCAGCTTGTGCTTTCCCTATGTGCATCTGCTTCTCATCTCTGCCCAAAGGGTTCTTTCCCTTCCACTTCATCTGGCTGAGACTCCTCTTGGAAAACCTTTTCTGAAATTCTCACAGTGAGTGCCCGCCTCCAGGTTAGAACATCTCTTCTCAGCCCCTGGGAAATCCTCCACATAGTCTCTGCTGTGCACTTGTATGGTTGTTGATGCTTCTGGGTCCCCCCAGAAACCTTAAGCTCCTTCCCTGTTCTCACCCACCAGTCTCACAGATTCAAGTGGCTCTTAATCAGCTTCCCTAGAGAAAATGGTCTTAGAAAGGTATAAAGTCAGTGACCAGTTAAGTGAAACAGGGGTTCTCATGATGCCACTGGATAAGATATAGAAGCAAGCAAAGGGGACTAAGAAGAAGAATAACAACACAATCTTGTTGCCCCAAACTCAACTACAATGAGCGATCAAAACATATAATAAATGTTTAAAAACTTAAAACTTTATTACAGTAAAAGACACATTGCCATTACTCCCCCTTATTTGAAACACTGTTAGCCCATTATTCTTGCCCCTTTTTAAGCAGTTCTGGAAGTTCTCTTTCATGAGAATCTTTACAAAGTGTAATAAAAAGAGCCAGGTATGGTGGTGCATGCCTGTAATCCCAGCACTTGGGAGGCTGAGGCAGGAGGATCACTGAGAGTTCAAGGCCAGCATGAACTACATAGGGAGTCCCAGGCCAACCTAAACAACATAATGAGACCCTGTCTCAAAAAACAAACAAAAAAATTTGTGATAAAAAAATACGGTGAATGCTATCGCCAAGTGCCATCCAAAGGAAAGGCAGGCTTATAAAAACATTGTGTTGTGTCTTCATCCACCTAGTCACTAGATCTGGCACCTGCAATTTAAAGCTCTTCCCCAAAGTCAGAGTGACCATGAAAGGTGAATGTATTGAATTGATTCAAGGCATGAAGGCAGCTGCAACAGCACAACTAAAGACACCCTTGAAGGAAGACTTCCAGAACTGCTTCAGAAAGTGGCAAGAACATTATAGCGTATGTGTGTTTAAAGCAAGGGAAAGTATTTTGAGAGAGATTAATGGCAACGTGTCTTTTACTGTAATATTTTTTTAAAAATTTAAACATTCACTACAGTTTTTTACCACACCTGATCTGTCCTTTTTTATTTATAACTTGCCATCAAATTAGAATCTAAGCCACCTAAGGTCAGAGACTTTGTCTTCAGGTCATTTATTGCAGATCACCTTGCACATAGTTGAAGCTCAAGAAGTATTCACTGGAGGAAAGTGATGAAAAGGATGAGACGAAAGCTAGAAAACTGATTTAGAAATGGTGTGGCTCTCTTGGGAAAAAGGAGGCATCCACTGAAGAAATAACACCATTATAGTAACAGACAGAAAAGAGTCTTTTATCAGCAGTGCTTTGGACTCAGAGGAGCATGGCTACAGCAAAGAGGAGCTGGTGCCCAGGGCTTCTCCTGGATGCAAAGAGAAGAAAAAAATTGAGACAGTAGCAAGCCAGAAGCAATAAAATATTTCTTTCAGGCAATACAGAGAAAAGAATGGATAGAAGGGGAAGAAGACCCCTGCAAATCTGTACCTCTCATGCTACCAACCAAAATAGAGAGATGAAGAAGCACAGGGAGGGAAGGAAGGAAGAGAGGGAGCCGGCTCAGGAATTTTCTTGTCATCTTGGCTGGAGTGGGCTTGAATGGGAGAGAGAGAAACTGAGAATAACGGGAATTGGTAGATCAATCAATCAGCAAATATTTATTGAGCAGCTACCCAGGCTGGCAGCTGGAGAGAGCTCAGCTGGAGGGAGGCACATTAGAAAATTGTCTATAAAAAGGTGGTTGTGGGGGAGAGGGAGGGATGTGTTCCTCTGGAACAGGCTAGAAGGAGAAGAGGGGCTGCTTTGTTGTCCAATTGGAGGGGGTGGGTGTCTTTCACATTGTAGCCTTTGTAAAAAGTCCCCCAAGGTTGTAGCAAGCACAGCCTGCAAGGCCATTGGCAGCAGACCTGGAGAAGAACCTAAGCTATGATCCTGGGTGGAAGGTGATTCTGGGGAAAGCCAGAATGGGTTAGGATGGGCCTCCTCACCAGTCTCTTTCCCTTCCTCCTCAGGGCTCTGGACGCTACTCGATCTACATTGCCAATTACGCCTATGGTAATGTGGGGCCTGATGCCCTCATCGAGATGGACCCTGAGGCCAGTGACCTCTCTCAGGGCATCCTGGCACTCAGAGATGTGGCTGCTGCGGCTGGGGTCAGCAAATACACAGGTATGCAGAGGGACATGGGGGCTGTGAACAAAGGGGCCAGGGCCCTGCAAGACCAAAAATGAGTCTAATTCATCAGAGACCACAAGAACAGGGAAGTTTTATTCCATGAAGCCATCCACAAAAGGCTCTTCTGACACCACTTCAAGGGCTGAGACATCTCAGATAGATATCTGGCAGGTGTTAGCTTGAGAGAGCTGGCAGGGATACTGGGCAGAGGGGCTTGCTGGAAAGTGGGGTGAGAGCTCCACCACATCATTCTTTCCTGGAACCTACCCGTGTTCTCTTCCCTGCTCTGACCCCAGTGATGGGTTCTGTAGGAGAAAACTGACAAATTACAAAAGCTGAGATTTAAAGCATTCTTTATTGCCAAACAGCAGATGAAATTATTTACTTACACATAAGCAGCCAGGAATTGAGTGCTAAATCCCTAAGCTTCAGCTGGGTCCCGTCTCGGATAACTGAGCTCAAAGAATTGTGTTCTTGTTCCAGAACCTCTCCAGCACTTTTTCTCAAGGCCCACTCCCCCTTCATCTTTCTGGATGGGGGGACCTATTGTCAGAATCTCTGACAGGGAGATCTTTCCAGGGAAGGCTGTTTTTCTAATTCCAGCACGGTTGCTGACTAAACTCTGATAATCTGCCAATAGACTGCTGATGGCAGAGCAATCCAGTTCCTGTTTTGGGTGCCAAAAATCAGGAAGCCAGGGCAGCACACAACATCTTCTCACGTGAGCACCACACTTCACTCACAGTGCCTTGTTCTTAGGTGTAGAAATTACAGTGGACCCTTGACTTATGAACTCAATCGATTCCCAAGGGATGGTTGGTTATGAGTCAATACAGCTGAGATCTGGATGTTTACCTGGGTACACGCTATAGAAAACAAGAGCCAGATGAATCTTCGTTAACCTAATTAACCCATGTTGTTACATGTCGGGCTGTTCATAACTTGAGAGTCCACTGCATTTGATTAGTTGACCTTTCCCATATATCCACCCCAACTTGTTCCTACAGAGATTTCCAAAGCAGCAGCCAACCTGAATCCTTATCCCAGCAGTTGGGAGGATACTTGAGGGGTATTTAGGCCATCCTCCTGTCTCCAGACACTTCATTGGTAGCAAAATCGCTATGTCCTACCCAGAAAATGTTGTCCCTGCCTCCCTGCAGTTTATGATGCCCTTCGCTAGCCAACTTTCCACCTTGGTGAAAGGCAGAGATTAATGTTGACCTGTCTGACAAAGTTTGTGAGGACAAATGACTAGACAATAAAATAGTTTGCACAGCTCAAGCCCCATCAAAGTGCCTGAGAGCTCTGGGCACAAATGTACCTCGGAAAGGCTGAGTGTCAGTAATAAACCATGTTTCCCTGGGAAAGGAATAAACATGCAGGCGCTCCAGCCTATATTGGTACAGTCAATTTTTCTGAGTAGCTTCAAGTTCTGTGCACCAGGCTGGCTTGGCAATTAAGTGCCTTGATCTTGCAGGAGGAGGGGGTGGGCTGGAGGATGAAGTACTTGAAAATGATGAGATGGAAGGGAGGCAAGGACTGAGAGAGTGGGTTATACACAGAATGGAAGAATCCGGGCTGTTTGAGCATGAAGGGGGCATTGTTCACACTGGCTGGGCTGGCACCCAACCCAGGAGGGGGAGGGAGAGATCAGGCGGAGACAACTGAAGAGTAGGGATGGGATAGGAGCACCAGCCAACTTTTTTTGGGCTGTGCTGGAAGGACCATGCAGCCCAAGGAGGGACAGCAGCTTCCGTGGAGGCATAGAGGAAGCTGAGGCAGCTGGCGTACCCAGAGGATGCATCAGAGCAGCTCTGCAGACTTCCAGAAGCCATTTGGCCGAACAAGAACCTATTTGGCCCACCAAGTTACTGTTCTGTCTACCCGCCTTCCCCAGCCCATCCTTTCCCTGTCTGCCAGGCCCCCCAACACTACCTTGCAGCACTCCCCCCAATCGCTCGGCTAATGACACATGGACATCTGGCTGGAAAACTAGCCCTGAGTACCCCCCTGGAGACCCAGGAATGGACCTCAAATGTAAGGGCTGCCATGCTGAGCCCAGCCTGATGCCTGAGACTGTGGGCCAGTGGCCAATGCTCAGCGCCAGGCCAGTGCTAGGGAGCCTAGAAAGCTGGCAGGGAAGCAGGCAAGGATATGCAGGGCCTAAGCAGGCTAAGAGAGAACCAAACACTGGGAAGGTATGCATTCAGGGAGTTGAGGCCTCCACAGCACCTGTCTGTTGAATAGCCTATGACCTGGAGGAACCTCCTATTTTCCAAAGTAACAAACCAAGGTCCAGAGAAGAGAAGGGACCCACATGAGGTCACATAGGAGATTGTAGAAAACTAGCATGTAGGGCCCCATCTCCTGAAGCCTAACCTGCTATAACCAGCTGGCTTCTCAGGTTACCTCCACTTTGAGAATTCCCCTCCACGCTGGTGAGAAGAAGGCCCCACACCCGCTGGCAGTTCGGCCCCAAGCTTGGGCATTCAGGCCCTGAACTGCAGTCCTAGGTTATAGGACTGATGCAGCTGCATGGCCTGGGGAGCTCAGGGCATCAGGAGGAGGCCATGCCACAGTGGAGGCTGCGAGGCAATGCTGTCCCCACATTGGCCACACCACTGCTCTCGGGAGGGAGAGGGAACCCTCTCCAAACACTATGGATGCCAGTGGCCACCGCCGCTCGGCTGGGTCATAGTGCCATCTAGTGGCAGCCGTGCTTGCTCTCCGGGGATTTAAGAGCCCCTGAAGGGCTGTGGAGCAAGTAAGGCTGGTGCCCACAGGGGGAGTAGGAAGACTGCCCCCCTCCCCACCACTGCCCTGACTCCCTAGAATCCCAAGCCCCAATGTCTCCAACTGCCCAAGGCCTTTTGGAGCCAGGACAATGCCAGGAGCTGCCCTCTGTGGGAATCCTGAGAACTGGTTCTGCCATGGCAGGACCCTGGCATGAAACCAGAGGAAGAAAGGAAGAGCCAAGCATCCTGCGCTGGCTCTGTGCCCAGTGACCTTGAACATGTCCCTCAGCCACTCTGAATGCCCTGAACAAGCTGGCTTGCAGAGCAGCTAAGAGGGCAGGGTCTGGAACAGGCTGCCATGTGCAGATTCTGTTCCACCACACCTCTCCAGCCACGGGCAGCGCCAACTTTCCCAGCTGCTGCTTTCTCACTCATACAAGGGGATGTTAAGGAATGAAAGGAGGGAACATGGAGCCTGCCTGCCCATAGCCTGGTGCACAGGCAGTGCCTGCCCTGTATAGCAGATACAGATACCCAGGCCCACTGGGTATGGGCAAAGGGCAGCACTGGGGGTGTGCAAAGGGAGCAGGCCCAGCCCTGTCCTGGAGACATCCTGTGTGCTCAGCATGGGCACAGCATGGCATTCTCATCCCTGGAGTCCAGCTCTCTACCCTTCTTCCCACTGGATCCAGCCTGCCCTGAGCCTTCATCCATCCCCACAATCCCTGCATTTGGGCCTCACCCTTTTGAGGGAGCATCTGCCTGGGCTGCAAGGTGGTGATTAAAGAAGCCTTAAAAGAAATTTGGGAAAGAAAATGAAGGTGGATTTATGATGCCGGGTGGGGAGTTTTGCTGTTGGCTGGGAGCAGCGTGGAGCAAAGCGGAGGGCAGATCTGATTTATAGGAAGTCATTATTGGAGGAGACAGAGAGGCCTAAAGCCCAGCTGAGGCCTGCTGGCGGATCCCCATCAGCAACGCAACTGAGGGCTGCAGGGCGGGGCTGCAGCGCCTCCCAGGTTCTCAGACAGCAGTGATAGCCTTTCAGCAAAGCAACAGCCAGGTCTGAGGCCAAGACCAGGCAAGGCTGGAGAAACAGGGTCCTTTGCCAGGCCTGCCAGGGGTTCACAGAGCCCAGAATCCACAGGGCCCATTTCCCTGGGATATCAGATGCATCTAATGATTGTCAGGAGGGGATGTCATTTTTCCTTTAAAACAGATATATTTGGGCCAGGAATTTAGCTCAGTGGTTCTGCCGCCTGCCTCACAAGTGCAAGGTCCAAACAAAAATCCCCAGTACCAAAACAAAAAGAAACAAACAAACAAACAAAAACCACACAGAGATATTGTAGAATAAAAATATAAAATTTGCATGCATTTTTCTCAGCTATCACAAGAGATTTTAAAGAAACATCCAGCCTGTGGCTGGCCATTGTGCATGCCAATACAAATCCTATCTACCCTGTACAGAGAGGACTTGAGCGGAAACATTTGAGAAACACACTGGAGAGAATAGTTCATGATTTGAATTGTGACCTGCTGCACATTGGCAGTGATTGCTCCTCCATGAGCTTCAGTTTCCTCACCTAGAAAATGGTGGTAATGGGAGTTAGGAGTTGAGGAGGTGATGATCAAAGGACTCAACATTTCAGTTAGATGAGAGGAATAAGTTCTAGACATCCAGTGTACAACACAGTGACTGCATTTAGTAACAATGCATTGTATTCTTGCAAAATGCCAACAGGATAGATTTTCAGCATTCTTACCATAAAAATCATAAGTATGTGAGATGATGAATATGTTAATTAGCTCAATTTAGCCATTTCACCATGTATACATTCTTCAAAACATGTCATTACACTGTAAATACATGCAGTTTTTAATTTCTCAGTTAAATACAGAAAGAAAGAAAGTGATGGTGACAAAACCCATCTTGAGGTGTCAGGAGACTGACGTGAGCTGCATGTGCACGATGCCAGCACGGGGACCCAGCTGTTGGTAATACAGGAACTCTCCCTGCCACTCTTTTGCCCAGTCCTTTCCTTAAATAGCTTCTTCATGCTTCTCACTGTGGGAAATGGGTGTGGGGAGGAGGGGCCCTTCTCCTGCACCACCAGGTAGCAACAGTTTGAAAGTCTCCCACCCAGGGACAACTGATGGAGGCTGTCCTTACAGAGACGGGATGAGAGATGAAGACAGGCCAGGAGGGACCGGGGGAAGCCGGAAGCAGTCTGACTGGTATCTGTAGGGTAACCAGGGACTAACACAGACATACTCTTTCAGAACTTTCGGGAAATTTAGAGGGGAGACACTGTTACCATCCTGCTCTTTACCCTCACACCACCTTCTCCAACACACACCTGCTCATGCCCCACTGCCCTTCTTCTACCTCACAGCTCCCAGTGTCTAAGCCCTACTCTTTTACAATATCCTGGAAGTTCTTGGTAGCCCATGGACCTTGCTGCCACCAGCATCCTATTTCCATCAAGATTTTAGCACATCATTGCCACGCATCCAAGATCCTTGGCTGACAGAACAGAGGGTGCAGGAAACAGCTCTCAGCACCCTCATCTTACATCTCCCTGGAGGCTGCATACATTGACAGGTAAAACTGGAAGGAGCCCCAGAGATCTTATTCCCCTGTCCATTTCCCATGGCAGGGACTGAGGCTTGATGGACACACTTTCCAGGTTACTGCAGCCAGAGAGAGGCAGGGATCAGGTGAGAACTGAGAGGCCTTGCGTAGCACTATGAACACTGTGCTGCTTTGTCCCTGATCACCAAGGCCACAGTTTGGAATAGCCCAGCAGTGGGCACCCTACCCTGCTATTTTTCCCTTCCTCACCCCCTCACCCACAGCAGGCCTGAGGGCTGCTCCACATACAGTGTGAGTGAGAGAGATCATTGCCCTTGAATTGTACTTGAGTTTGTATTGCCAAAGTGTCAGTTCATAGGTCTGGGGGTGAGGTTCTTGAGGACATGCAAGACTCCCCAGTGGGGCTTGGGCCTAGTTCACAGATTATCAGAACGAGAGCTGCAATGTGGCAGGAGGAAGTGGGGCGGTGGGGTGGGGGCATGTCTCCTCCAACTCCACCCTCTCACTCAGCGGAAGTCCTTGGAAGGAATAAGCAAGGAGGAGCATTCAAAGCCCAACGGCCTAGCAAGGAGGCCTTTGAAGCTTGAAAGTGCTGAGGAAAAAGTGATACCGGTATTATTCACCCAGCAGGTGGTAAATAGTCCCAACTAATGACTATGTGGCACCTGACATTTTCCAAAGTACCTTCCAAAAACCATCTCAATATTTATGACAGCCCTGAGAAAGAGCTATTATTCTTACCAGTCTTATGCCATAAATGAAAAGACAAAAAGCTCAGTAAGGTTAAGTGATGTGCCCAACGTCACACAGCTCAAACTCAGACTTGCTGATCCCATGACCCGAGGTCTGGCCCACCGCCAGTACGGCCTCTCTAGCCTTACCTGGGGAACAGTTTGTCCCTGAGAGAATGTGCTGGCTTCAAATATAAGAATTAATTGATATATAATGGCATCCCTACTAGGACATCATTCTCTAAGGCTAAACAACGATGTCTCTAACAGCCCCCTGCATGGCTCCATATGGTGTGTCCTAACCTGAGGAGGTAGAGGAAAGGGCAGATGTGACAAAGGAAGAAGAGAGGAAAGGTCCTGGTGGAAGATACTTGCTGGTGCCTTTGTCATTGGTGACAGGAGGAGGCATGCAGGCTACACTTAGTGTTGGATTTCACTGGTTTGAAGAGGACTTCCATGTCAGTCTGGGAGTAGAGTTCCCCTGAGGCATCAGCGGGGTGGGGGTGCTGCCCCTGCCTCAGACCCCAGCTTGGACCCCATCATCCTAAGACTGCTGTGGCTGGTGCCCAAGAAGCTGACTCCCTGACTGTCAACTCACCTGCTCCCCAACTGTGCGGCCAACTTGCCAAGAAGTTGTGGGTAACATCTCTGTTATCGTCCAGTTGCCATGGCAATAAATTGCCACTAATTAGTAGTGTGGTTACCATGGCAATTTTCTAGTAATTACAGGTTACAAATGGTGCAAGGCTTCAACCCAACCCAATTAGTTAATTAGAAAGATTTAGAAATTTGTCCAAAAGGGAAATAACCTGCTTTGTAGAAAATGAAGGGAATGTGTCACAGCTTGGGAGCCAGAGGCAGAAAGGAAATTGGAAGATGCCAGAGTGGAGAAGAAGGACGGACTTGCATGATAGCAGATTCTGGATCCCACGTGGAATTTCCAGGGATCAGGCTAGGCCAGGGGCTTCTCATGGGAGCCTACTCATGGTCTGGGGTCTGCAGGACCAGGGCAGGGACAGCTGCCAACAGCCACTTAGCAGCTCCTGTTCTATTGAGCAGAAGTGGTGCCCAAGTTATGGTTCAGTACCCCTCCTGCTGGCTTTAGAAAGGCTTCTGAAAGCCATCTCACCCCACTTCATGGGTGAGAATGGATGCCGTCTTGGAGGATGATCACCAGTAGCAATGTGGATTTAGAGGTTCCGTTTTCATGAGAGTTGGACTCTCCTTGAGAGCTAATCAGATTATCTGGGAGGAATCCCAGAGGCAAAGGCCCAGAGGATGTTAAGGACTCCAACCGTGGGAACATTAAGAATGGCAATACCTTTTGCCCCACTCTGTCTCCTTGGATGCCCCATGACTTCTCCCCGTGGTGTCTCTCAGGATGGGAGGAGTCTAGGAGAACACTTTTCTCAAATTAGCACAGTCACTTTGGGGAAACCCCTGCCCCATCCAGCAGTAGGTGGTGGGGAGCCAGGCCCATCATCACACAGCTCTGCCTAAACTCTCATCTATTTAAAAAAAAAAAAAAAACAAGTTCTGGAATGCTCTTAAATCTATTCTTGTTATGCTAAATAGCTTTCTAGAGCAATATATTTCAAACATTAATATGCACACAAACCACTCAGGGATCTTGTTAGGATCCAGGTTCTAATTCCGTAGAGCCTGAGAGTCTGTGTTCCCAGCAAGCTCTAGGTGCCATTCCTGCAGCTGGTGCACAGGCCTGACTCCAGCTCGGAGGGTCTGTCTACAAAGCCCTTTCATCTCTCTCAGCTCATTTTTTAAATTAAGATCTAAAAAGTGTATATATTTATCATGAAATGTGTGATTTTTTTGTGTGATGTTTTGATCTATGTATACATTGTGGAATGACTAACTTGATCTAATTTATATTTGCATTATTTCACATATTTAACACTTATTTGCTATGAGGTCACTTAAAATCTACAGTACTGTCTTAGTAAGTTCAAGTATACTGTGCATCATTACTAACTATAGCCACCATGGTGTACAATAGATCTCTTGAACTTAATCCTCCTGTTTAACTTTTGTGCCCTTTAACCAACATCCTCCCCCACCCCCGACCATGGTAATCACCATGCTACTTTCTGCTTCTGTGATTCCCATATGAATGGGATCATGCATATTTGTCTTTCTGTGCCTGGCTTATGTCACATAGCATAATGTCCTCCAAGTTCATCCCTATAATCATAAATGACAGGATTTTCTTCTTTTTTAAGGCTGAATAATACTTTAGTTTGTAAATATGCCACATTTTCCTTATTCATTCATCTGTTGTGTGGTATTGGTTGATCCCATAGGTTGGCTTTAGTGAATAATGCTGCAACGAACATGGGACTGTAGATGTCTCTTTAGCATATTGAGATTTCATTTCCTTTTGCTATTTACTCAGTAATGGAATTGCTGGATCATATGGTAGTTCTATTTTTAATTTTTCAAGGAACCTCCATACTGTTTTCCATAGTGAGTATACCAATTTACCTTCCTACCAGCAGTGTACAGGGTTCCTATCTCTGCACACTCTGTGGACACTTGTAATCTTTCCTCATTTTGATAATCCCCATTCTAACAGGCATATCTCATCTCCTTTGATTCTCTTAAAAACCTCAAAGTAGAAAAGGCAGGTCAGACCATCTCCATTTTACAGATGAAGAAACTGAAGATTAAAGGGTAATATAAGCTGCACAAGGTCCCACAGCTTGTAAGCAGCTGGGACTAGAATCCCTGTCTTATCCTAATCAGGAGGTTCCAGCTGTAGGAGGCTCCAGCATTTGGAGGTGTGGAGCAGGTAGAGCTTGGCAAGCAGAAACTTCATCTAAAACCCTCTAGTTAAGGATAGTTTACTCAGGACATACTAAGGTTGGGCTTTTTGACATGTATAGTTCAAATTTGTTCTTGGAAACTTCAAAGCCTAACATAGACCTAGCTTGATTTCTTTCTTTAAAAAAAAAAAAATATGTATACTTTATTGGATTTTTCTCTTTGAAGCTACAGAAGCGATTCTTCCTGTGACAAGCAAAACAATACAAAGACATTCAAAGAAAAGGCCAGCTACCCTCTCTTCCTCCCTCCCCAGTGCTACGCCACCAAGGTGGCCAGTATTAACAACTTGGTTGTGGCCTTCCCCATCTTTCTCCAAACCCAAACAAGCTTGCATAAACATGTGTATTCAGAAATGTCGTGTATTTTCTTATCTTTTAATAAAAGTAAGATCACACAATACCATTACATGACAGATTGTTTTTCTTTTAACAATATATCAAGAGCATTCCTCCAAGTCGATACATATGGATCTATGCAGTCTTTTTAGGAGCTGCAGAATGATCTACCATATGGATTCACTGTAATCCATTCAACCAGTTTGCTATCAATGGACATAATTGCTTACTATGTCAAACAAAGCAAAATGAACATCCTAGTACCTATAGCTGCTACCTACAGCTGGTACCTGTTGCCAGAACTTATTTTTGTATGTGGGCCTCTGAGTGGGAGTGGGAGGCTGTCCAGGACCTGTGACTTGACCAAAATGGTGTGGGTAGAACTTGGCTACTGTAATTTAACTTCTCTTAGAAGGGAAGTGTGCTGACATTTGGGGCAAGAGCCAAGCCTTCTATGTTCCTTGGTGCCTGGAATCATTCCTGTGGCACAAAGTGATTCAGTCTGGCTCCTCCCTAGCCTCGTCCTCAGTGACATCAGATTCATGGAGACTGAGCACAGGATTGGCTCTGGGAAGCACCCAGGAGCTCACACTTCCCCCCAGAGCTCTTCTGAGGCACCTCCACTGTAGCTTCTCACAGGCTATAGAGGCCACTCCATCCTCCAGCTGGGCCTGGGGATGTGCGTCCATCACTCATTGTGGGTCCATGTCCTCTCGTAGGGGGCCGAGGTGTCAGCGTGGGCCCTATCCTCAGCAGTAGTGCCTCGGACATCTTCTGTGACAATGAGAATGGGCCCAACTTCCTCTTCCACAACCAGGGCAATGGCACCTTTGTGGATGCTGCAGCCGGTGCTGGTAAGTAAATGCAGCCCTGTCCTGTGCCCCTTATGTCCCTACCCCAGGGGACTCCAGGCTGCCCTGCCCTGTCCTGCTCTCAACCTTAGGGAGATTCCTTGTCACCTGTCAGATGATGCTTTCACCTCCGGCTATACACACACATACTCAGACTCAGACAAGGAAAAGGAATCAGAGACTCCTGACCATTGTCATTTTCCAGCAACTGGCATTGGTTCGTGATCCTTTGAGTCCTGCTTGTCTCCCAGCATCATTTTCCCCTCCAAGCTGTCTCTTCTCATGTTGGGCCCTACCCTCATTTATCTTAAGCATTCAGTTCAAACCCGTGATCATTTATGAAACTTTTGCCAAGTGCCAGGTTTATGCTAGGAGCTGAGGATGCTGACATGAATGAAGCGAAGATCACCCCACATATAGAAAATGCAGACCTTCTAGAAGCAAACATATACACAAATAGCTATGAGAAGCAGGATAAAACCCACATAAAATTGTGTCCATGACTCCCAGCTTGGCTGCCCTTCATCCCTTTGTGCTCACCCCCCCCATCAACCTCAGGACCTTTGTACCCGCTATTTCTTCTGTAGGACTGCCCTCCCTCTTATTTGTCCATAAAATTTCTATGTATCCCTTAACATTCAGCTCAAAGGTCACCTCCATGAATTGTTTCCTGACTCCCTCTATGCTGCTTGGCAGAGATTGGCCCTTCCTCCTCTATGTTCCCACTGCCCCTTACATGAATTTCTCACTTGGGATTCTACATCACCCTCATGATTGGTCTGTGAGCTCTGCAAGGTCTGGGACACTGTTCTATTCATTCTTGGCATAGTGCTTGGTACCGAATGCTCACCCAGTAAAGTTTGCTAAATGACAGGATGGACATCTAAAAGTTGATGGATATAATCAGTCTGCTCTCCGGCTCCTTCTCTCTACCCCTTTCATCCCCAGCTTGCCAACGAATGGAAGGTAGGGAAGAAATGAGTAGGGAGAGAATGATTTCACCTCCTTCTCCAATACATAGGGAAGAGGTGACTGAGGGTCTAGACCCATAGGTCAAAGGCCCCACCAGCTTCAGCTGTTGCTGAGAGCTGGCATCAAATCCCTGAGCATGTGCTGATCCATTCTTTCTGACCCAAGAGTGTCTACTCCCACAGCTTCCTGCTCGGGAGTCTCCGTTTGGGGAAACTACTGTCCAGGACGCCCACCTGCCCCCAGACTGTAGCCTGTCAGCCCCTGGCCGTGCCTTACATCTTCTTCCCTGGCAGAGCTGAAGTTGGCCTGCCCTCCTGCCTGGCTCTCCTCTCCTGGTGCTATACTTGGCAGCAAGCACTTTTGATACTGAAAAATCATAAAGTGAAGGGAAGGGGTAGTGGGGGAGCCTAGGGGTTGTGATGAGATGTTACAGAGATGGAAGCAGAGGTGAGCAAACCAGGTGGAGTGGGATAAGGCATCAGGCAGGAGAAGAGAGGCAAGGTGCTAGGCCCGTAATTGAAAGTCAGAATGATTGCAGGGGCTTAACAAGACATGTCAAGAGGGCATTCGTCACCCAAACAGATGCTGCTGGCAAAGGCAGCTTGGCACAGCTTAGTCCTGTGAAAGGGAACCAGATCCTTGTCAAGGAGCCTCATAGATAGGAGAGAAATGGGCCGGCGCAGAAGGCCACCGACACTTTGGCTGGGGAGATTTGCTGAGAACTGATGGGGTGTTAATCCTGGGGATTGGAGGCTGCCCTCGGTGCTTTGCAAACCTTCTTTCTCAAATGTGGGTCTCATTGCCTCTTCTCACATGGCGGTCCATCTCCCAGGGCCTTTCACCCCTCAGGACCCCCAGCCTCCAGGCTTCTCAGGGGCCTCAACTTCTGCGTTCTCCTGGCTCCCACCCTCAGGATCTCCTTGTTTGCAGCTGTGACTGCCACTCCCATTATATTGTCCTAGTGCCAACACCAGAGGGCCTGTTGACCTCCAGCTATTTGTTGTCTGAAAAAGTCAGCTTTTGCAGCTCTGCACCTGGCCAGAGGAGCAGGCCTGCCTGGGGCTGCCAGGAGGTCAGGCCAGCACTCAGCAGACCCAACCTCTGCTCCACCCTCCCCCAGGGCCAGCCCATTGGTAAATAGTAGGCGGGTGACATTGGACAGAGGTTTTCACAAGGCATGCTCTAGTTTCTCCATTACAGCTGCAGTATTTCCTCTGCTGTCACCAGCATCCCCAGTTTGCCTGCTGTCAAATTATTTATGTCTCTTCATTCATTCAGCAAGTACTTAGTGAAAACTCCCAGGCAGCTGCAGGCAGAGGCAGCCACTGCATGCACACAGGTGAAACAAGAAGGTAGTCCTGACCTCACAAAGTGTCAGGTCTTGCAGGAATACTGGTCTCCAACCAAGTGAAACAAAAAGGGACTTAAAGGCACCTTGTGATCAGTACTGCAAAGGAAGAGAGGGAGCTTGGCAAGATGTGGGGAGAGGCTAGGTAGATGGGGGGTCACTGGGGAAGGCTTCCCAAAGGATGTTGTGACGAGAGCAGAAAAACAGAGAGCTAGGTAACTGTGGGCCTGGAAGGCATCCCAGGGGGAGTCCAGCTTGAGCAAAGGCCCAGAAGCTGGAAGTGTGAAAAACATGAGTGACCAGAGCTCAGTGAGTAAGAGGCAAGTGGGGAGGTAGGTAGGGGTACGGTCGGGCAGGGCCTTGTAATTCCTGGGCAAAAATTTGAACTTGACTCAAGAGTATTGGGGAGCCCTTGAGATATTGAAGCAAAAGAGTGACATGACAAGGTCCCAAGTTTGATCCCTGGTACCAAAAAAAAAAGAGTGACATGCTTAACTTAATGTCTCTCCGGCCATCTTGGGATGGCCAGGAAATGATTTGGTCCACCAAGGAAAATCTCCACTTTCCTTCCCTGATCCATATGTCCCCAAACTGAGTACAGTGTACTTGCTGGGCAAATGCAGCCTGAAAACAAGTCTTGTACCCTTTGCTAGCAGAGGGCTGTGTCACCTTCTGCCTCTATGGAGAGCTTGTGAGACACAGCTGTGTCTTCCCATCTCCGGGAAGGGAAGGGACAGTACAAGGGTTACCTTCCCCTATTGCCCAGGGTGAGTGTGGAGTGTTCAGGGACACCGCACTGAGGCTCCTGCCTCTCCCTCCAGGTGTGGATGACCCCCACCAGCATGGACGAGGCGTTGCCCTGGCTGACTTCAACCGTGACGGCAAAGTGGACATCGTCTATGGCAACTGGAATGGCCCCCACCGCCTCTACCTGCAGATGAATGCCCAGGGGAAGGTCCGATTCCGGGTAAGAGGAACCTCCCTCCTGCCTTCCCCTTTCCCCCAGGCCTGAGGAGCTTGTGGCTCTTCAGAACCTGGGGCAGGTCACAGCGAAGATAACATTTGGGAGATGAGAGACTCCAACCTATCTGGGCTTTGGAGATTCCTAGGCCCAGAGTAGAGAGCTAGGCAGGCACTAAGGAAGAACAACCTCCGTGGCTGGAGCCCCAGCCTGTGGATCAATCTCTGGATAGAGGCCATTGCTTCAGGAGGCTCCTGGGAGACCTGTCCTGTAGCTGCAGCCTGTGCTCTCTAAGCTGAGCTTCTGGTCCAGGGTAGAGTGGTGGAAAGAGGGGCAGCAGAGGCCACAGAGTTCCCAGGACTGCAGCTAAAGACAAATAGATGGTGGGCAGGGTGAACCCTTCCTGTGTCCTCTTCCTGGGCTGTCAATAAACTGTGATACTGAGAATTCCTCAAAGGGACTGTTGGGTGGCATTAATGGAAGTGCTGCCAGCGTAAGAAGCTTGAGTTGGGCCTTTCCCAGGGAGTGCAAGAGAGGGTGTGGATCACTGAAGCTGATATTGGGAGGCCAGTTGTTCTGAAGGTATCTAGGTCTTGCCAAGAACACCTAAGGGAATGAGAAAGTTCCAGTTGTTTCCTGTGCCCAGAGAAGTCTACAGGGTCCTTAATGTTTTGGGACCATGGAGAGTCCCCGCTACAAGCTCCTGCCCTGTAGGAACTACCTTGGGCACCCTCCTGGAGAGGCTTGAGACTCAAGCTGTCTAGGTGAAGAGGAGACATATCCAAAATCGGACTCTAGATCCTGGGGCTAGGGTGACACCCATCTTTATTCAGCTGTTGTTCTAACCCAGGTCTTGTTTTGTTTTTTGTTTTGGTACCGGGGTTCAAACTCGGGTCCTTGCGCTTGTGCAGCAGGCGGTGAAACCACTGAGCTAAATCCCTGGCCCAGACCCAGGTCTTCAATGGAGACAATTTTGCCTTCCTGCCCCAGAACACTGACAGTCTCTGGGTACATTTCTGATTACACAGCTGGGGAAAGGGGTACCGTTGGCATCCAGTGAATAGAGGCCAAGGATGCTGCTGAATATCTCTCAATACACAGGGCAGCCCCACAGCAAAGAATCATCCGGCCCTAAATGTCAGTGTGCTAAGGTTAAAGAACCTGTTAACCTTCTGAGGGCCCCTCACAGAACTCATAGGAACAGTCAATATCATAATAATAAGTACCTGATTTGTCAAGTGTCTCCCATGTGCCAGGAACCATGCTAAGAGCTTTACATACATTATCTCAGAAGCTGAGGCATTGAGTGGGGGCAATCCCAAGGGGGCTGTGTAGTTTTCCATTTTCATAGGATAGATAGAACAATAACAGGTTAGAGATCCTGAGGCCTCCTTGTTCCTCAGCTGTTAAGGCTCTGCTCAGCCCACCCTGACCAGCTGACCAAGCCCATCACCAGCTCAGTGCTCTGCTAATAGAGACAGTCTCCCTCCATGACCTCCCTGGTCAGCTCACCAGCTAACCCAGGCTGGCTCCTTCCTGTGCCCAGCAGAGCAGGCCTCCATCCAAAGATATTGGCTGTGCCCTTCTCAGCCCTCTCTATGTGGGCCCAGGCATTTGGACAGGCTCCCAGGGTCTTTAAGGGACAACCTCACCAACAGTAGGATGGACCACTCAGAAACAAAAGGCCATCTTGCACAGCTCTTTGGGAGCAAATTCCACGCCCAGGACCCTTTCTCAGGCCTTCCCAATACTTTGCCAGCACTTTCAGGTCAGGTTTTCCTGGCCCTGGGATCTCCTCATAAGTCCTGGCCAGATATAGCTGATACTGAAACTTCCTCAAGCCAATATCTCAGAAAAATCCTTACAATTTGCAAGTAACAACATAAAGTAGTAGATGCAGCAAAAAACACAGCTAAAGGGCCACCTTTCACCTTCCATCAGGCTGGTTGTGGGAGCAAGGCAGCACAACGGTCTCTCGTCCCCACTCTACACTAAGCATTTAACATGCAGTCCTCAGCCTGGGCAGCTATGATTAGCCCCATGTCACTAATGAGAATCTGAGAAGTTGAATAATTTGCCTAAGTTCGCACAGAGGTAGAGCCTAGATTCAAATGCACAGTTTCTGATGACTTTCTAGCTTCCAACTCATCACAGAGGAAGGAGGTACAGCAGAAAGAGCACCACACCCAGAATCAGAAGCCCCAGCTTCAGCCCCAGTGGTAGCCATAACTATGAGCAATTCCCTTTCCCTTCAGGAGTCAGTTACCTCACCTGTAAAATGGCAACGCTAATGGCCAAGCTGCTCAAGGGACTATTGGGAGGGTTGAGTGTGGCCCAGACTAGAGTCAACTAAGTGCTCACTGGTGTGAGTTGTGACTGTTGTTCTTCCCCCTTGTTTTCCTCCAAGCAGCCTGAGGTTCATGTCCTACAGGCAGCCACGCAAGTCCCTCATGTGGAGGTGAGAGAGGAGATGTGGGTCTCTTGGCTTGGTGTCCACATACACAGCAGAGGCATTGGCCTCTTGCCGAGTCCCACTGTCCTGTGTGCTCACCAACGGCCCTTTCTTCTCCAGGACATTGCCTCACCCAAGTTCTCCATGCCCTCCCCTGTTCGCACTGTCATTGCTGCTGACTTTGACAATGACCAGGAGCTGGAGATCTTCTTCAACAACATCGCCTACCGCAGCTCCTCAGCCAACCGCCTTTTCCGGTATTCACTGCACCCTAATGACTGGGAGCTGGGGATTAGGAATCTGAGGGGAGGGTTGCAAGACCAGAGAGTCAGGGCTCAGGGAAGAAAAGAACAGAAGAAACAGAAAGGAGGGGATCCCAGAAGCTGAGCAAAAGGCTGCAGGATGAAGGGAGAGTCCTGGGCTGTTGCCAGGACATGGCCCAGAGTGTGCCCCAACCTTCAGCTCCGTGACATGGAAGCCCCCACTGCCACAAAAGGCTGAAGGGTCAAGTCTTTGGGTGAACCTGGGTTAAGCAAAGAGGCAGGTTTATTTACCATAGATTTCTGGAGCCTATAACAAGACCACAAGTATTTCAACTTTCTAAAAGATGGATGGAGTGTTCCAAATAGATTTGACCACAGAACATATCTTTCAAAGGCTTTTCTCTCAGGATTGGTTCTCTGCAGAACATCCTTTAGGAAACATTGGAGGAGACAAAGAATGGTAGAGAAAGAAAAGGGAGTTTCAGAATCCAAGGAATCAGCAATCCCCTGCGCATAGTGTCTGGAAAGAAAGTTAGAATTTCAGAGGTGACATCTCTTCCCAGGGGGCTGGAGACCATTAGCATCAAAATCACTCAGGGTTCCTATTTAGAGTTCACAATCCCAAGGCCCACTCCAGATCTCCAGGGTTAGAATAGAGGGGGTGCAGAAATCTATATTTCTGAAAGGGCATCAGGTACCAGATGATTCTTATCAGTAGTAAAAAAAACATTGATGGGAAGAAACCTCATGGCTCCTGACTGGAGATGTCTCTGTTCTGCGCCTAAAGTATGCTAATGTGGCTCAGGACCAGGTGGGGACAGGAGGGGGAACCAAAGGTTTTAGAGCCAGGAAATGGGTCAGATCACCTGCTTGGCCCCCTGAGGTCCCTGCCCTCTCAGGAAGGTCCAACTATTATTAAAAGGTGTGAGCTGTGACTAAGTATATTTTAAAATATAATTATTAACCAAGCATCAATCCTGACTGGATGTAATCACCCCCCAAAGGCACCAGATTTACTAATTAGGTGCCTTGCAAAAAGCTTATTCACAACTTCCAGATTAATTGCAGAAGATCAATTGCTCGTTAACAGAGACACTGCTTTCCTTCTCTGGATAATAAAGTGTCACTTGCTAGGGCCCCTGAGCACCTAGGAGTCTAGTTCTCTGGTCTCTGTGGCCTAAGAACCCAGGCACCTGCCCTGCCTGCCCCTCCAACCCCTCAGTATGCTGCCAACCTCCAAGCCTCTCCTGCTGCTGAACATGGACAGTCACCACGTGGTCACTCAGTGGGGTAATATGTTTGCCTCTACACAGAGGCAGTAGAAGCCACCTCCTAAGCATGTGGCTGGGCCCCAAGTCCCTGTGGCAGATGGTTGGGTCCTGAGCACATAGCTCAGGGGCTACAGCTGGGACACTGCTCAGCTGGCAGCTTTGAAAGTTAACCCCTACCTGTCCCACGCCATTCAGGCTATTCACCTGATGCTGAACAGAGCATCAGAACATTGTGTGCTCCTTGAGCCCAGGGCTCTCTTACTGCATAGCCAGACACTGGGAACCCAAAGCTTCACGTGCTTGAGTCTGTTAGTCTTTTGACGATACCTAGGGCAATTCATCCACCAAACCAGACCCAAACCAAATTGAAAGAGGCACTGCTAATAATCACAGCAAGACAACAGTCATAACAGGAACTCTCCCAGGCCTGCTGGAGTGTGTGTTGTCCCCCACTTCTGCATCTAAACATGCCTCTGGTCTGTTTTCAACTCTCCTCCCTATACCACTCCCTGGTCTCTCTGGAGGGTTCTTGTACCCACCTCCAACTCCTCTCCCTCTGTCAGTTTTTAGTCCTGCATAGAAGCTGTGGAAATGCAAATCTGCATACACCTGTCTTCTACTTACCACTCTTTGGGAGCTCCCCATTGCTTTCAGATAAGGTCCCTAGCCTCTTGACTCTCCATTTCCCCATTTATACCCAAGCACCAGGCACCAGAGCTTCTTTCAGCCCTGGGCTCTGTTGGGCCTGGGCCTGTACACTGACCACCCTCTAGGCCCTGTGCTCCTTCTTCATCTGAGTGGCCCTGCTCCCCACTATACTGGCCTCTACTTAGCCAGCCTTCCTCTGATAACCCCTCTCTGGGGGAGCTCACCCAACTCCATGCTCCCCCTGCCAGCCTTCAACCTGTGCATGGTGGCTCCCTATTAACATGGCTCTGAGTTTCATCCCCACTGATGTTCACTGTACCTCATGCCCCCATTAGGGCCTGGTGCATGGAAGCTGCTGCAGAAGAATGTGTTCACTGAATACAGGAACACAGTCCAACTGCTGGGTTTTCTCCTTGGAGTTTCTTAATTGCTTGTCACCTGAATCAAGAGGTGTCTGTCCAGCTGTGGCAGAACCTCTGTGACATAAATGGTCAAAGCTGAAGCATCACACCTCCAGCAGATGTGGACACACTCGTGCATACTACACAAGTCCACTGCCAGGTGTGCTGTGTGCTACCCAGAGACACATGTGGATATACTCAGCATGAATGCCCTGTGTGGAAAGAGGACACCTCCTGGGCAACTGCTCAATCCTGCAGGCACCTGCAGTTCTTCCAGCTCTCTCTGCCCTCCAGCCACTGAAGATTCCAACTCAGGGGACCTTGTCCCCCTCCTGAAAGCACTGGCCACATCCCAGTCCTCTTGATTCTCTGTGCTTTGAGTAGACAGTGTGGCAGGGTAAGGGATGCAGATTCCTCTGGTTCCTGCTTCCCCCACCCCTTCCTCTGCACAGTCAGGGCATAGCACCCATACTGGAAGAATGCAATAACAGAAAAAGTTAGAGAGTAAAGCACACACCATCACCAGCACTAAACTTAATGTGGCCATGAGGCACTATTTTGATAGCAGATGTCTCTGAAACAAACACATATGACCAAGATTCAGAGTTCAAAATAGAACCCCTGCAACTCACAGAGACTCCTGTTTGCCTCTGGAATTCACCTTTGCACAGACATGTGCTTGGAGTTTTCTGAGAGCTGGGCACTGTGTTAGATGTTGTGGGAGATGCTAAGATGAATAATACAAGGTCCCAGCCTGCGGAGAGCTCACAGACCAACTGGGGAGATAAGATGCGTTCATACAGAACATGAACACGGGCAGGAAGTGATAAAGGCCACAAAGGCGATAAAGGCAGAGGAGGAAGGGATTGCTTCCACCAGGCCAATCGGGGAGGGTATAGAGGAGAGAGCATTTACACAGAGCTTGAACCCTGGATATTGTCCTGAACTAGAAAACCTAGGGCCACTTGAAGAGAGTGAAGGTCAGTTGAAGGTAGTTGTACCCCTCCCCTTCTCTATCCATCAACTGCCCTTCCCTAGACTGTCTATAATTCATCCATTAGAGAAGGAAAAATCAATATTTACCAACATAAATTAAAACACAGGAAGGGAACCACTGGAGTATAGGCAAGGTCTGTGAACAGAGAGAAGTTGTGTGGGCATCCAGGTCAAGGGACAGATGGACCAAGTGGGCTTCTAGGGCCCCAGTGGGTCCCACCTGAGCAAGCCTGTCTCCCTCCTGCAGGGTCATCCGCAGGGAGCATGGAGACCCCCTCATCGAGGAGCTCAATCCTGGTGATGCACTGGAGCCTGAGGGCCGGGGCACAGGTGAGAGCACCTGAGAGTTGCAGCCTACACTCCCCCATCTTGCTGCTGCCTGCACCCTGAGCAAAGGCAGGAGGCCCAGCACAGCCAGTCCCCCAGCAGTCTCCTCCTGAAAGGGAAGAGCCCTGGGAACCATCAAATAGGAGGCAGAGGAGAGGACTGTCCTCCTTCAATCCCAGGGCTGCTGGGGGTGGAGGCAGGAGTCTGGGCCTGTGGGAAGTAGTTTCTCTGGCCAGGCCTTGCCATGTGGGAGTGCGAAGAACAGTGGGTCCCTTATGCTCCCAGGCAGAGGGTCCTGCATCTGCCCCCTCCTTTCTTGGCACTCAGCTTGCTGTCAGACAAAGAGCACTGATCAGGAGTCCCAAGACTAGGGTCTGCCATTTCCTCATATTGTGGTCTTGCCAAAACTGCTCCAGTTTCAGGGTCTTGTTTTCCATAACCCTAAAAGGGGGACTCATCATATCTGCCTTCCTCACTGTCTGGGTTGTAATAAGGACCAAGAGGAGACCATAAATATACAAACAGTTGACAAATTGACAAAAAAAAAAAATCCTGTGAAAATATAAAGATATATTATTCAAATGATAGCAGAAAGAGCAGTAGGTGAATAACTGCACCCACACACTCCATGCCACTTCCAAGAGAAGGAAGACAAGTTGTGTCCTGTGAATTCCTGTTCTAAGACAGCTGGTAGGAAAGAGACGGACCTGAAGCCCCACCCCCCTGTCCCAGTATTGAGCTCTTTCAGTACCCCCCACGCTCAGGGCTGTGGTGGCTGTACCTGGCTAGGAGCCCCTTTCCTCTGTGGGTCTGCTTGCCAATAGCCAGAGATGAACTCTGCATTGTTTGTAGGGGGCGTGGTAACTGACTTTGATGGAGACGGGATGCTGGACCTCATCTTGTCTCATGGAGAGTCCATGGCTCAGCCGCTGTCTGTCTTCCGGGGGAATCAGGTATGCACCAGCCTAGGACCCATAGATCCTACCCAGTGTGTTTCTTGGACCCAGGGATGCTTGCTGACTAGCCTGGTGGGAATTGTAAATCCAAAGCCTGGGGAAAGCAAATCAATCCCCAAGAGCACAGTACACCTCAGGAAGGCTTGCCTCCCAGAGAAACCCTGGACCCCTCTGCCTTCCACTGTCGCTTCTGTGCCAGAAATGTTTTTCTGAGTCTCTTGGCTATTCCTTCTGCATCTCCAGTGCCTCTCTTTCTCTTCAGCTGATCTGTCTTTGCCTTGTTCCTCTTTCTTGCTTCCTTCTTTTCCTCTTCTCTGCCCCTGTTCTTCTCACCCTCACCTTCCTCCTCTCCTCTCCTGCCTTGTCATCCCTCCCCTCCCTGTTGCTCCTGCCCACGTCACTGATGCCATGCCTGCCTGTCTCCCTCCCTACAGGGCTTCAGCAACAACTGGCTGCGAGTGGTACCACGTACCCGGTTTGGAGCCTTTGCCAGGGGGGCCAAGGTCGTGCTGTACACCAAGAAGAGTGGGGCCCACCTGAGAATCATTGACGGGGGCTCGGGCTACCTTTGTGAGATGGAGCCTGTGGCACACTTTGGCCTGGGTGAGTTGGGGTTCATTTGGGGCTCAGTGAGTGGGTCCTGAAAATGAGTCCTGCAACATGCTGCTTGGTTCAGGGACTCACAGCCCCAGCAGCACTGTGACAGCACGAGGGATACCAGCTATTTAGAGGCAAACCCTGTGTGAGATAAGCCTACACTCCAGGGGAAGGGAGTGGGAAAGACTTACTAGTATTTCCTGCCTCTCACTTGTAGGAGTCTCCACCTAGGACCTGGGGGGAATTAGTTCGATTTGAGTCAAAGTATTTAATCCTCTGTTTGTTTAAGGCCATAGCCTTGTTCTTCATATGCTGATCTGCACCAAACTTGTCCATAGCAGCTGTTCCTCTGGCCTCTTGAGAGCTAGCTTAGTCTTTAAGGCTTCTCACCAAACCTGATGTCTTCCAGCAGATAGAGGTTTGGGAGCAAAGCTGCCACAGTTCACAGTAACTTTATGTTTAATAGCCAAAACCTAAAAACAGTGTAGACGTCCTTCACTGTGCTAATGGTTCACAGCTGAGATACATCCATACTGTGGGATATTACCCAACATCAGAATAGTAAACCAATGGTACAACCCCTTGATTAGACTGCCAGGGCATTGGGGTGAATGAAAAAAAGTTTATCTCTAGAGATCTCATGATTCCACTCCCATAACCTTCCCAAATGCCAGAGCACAGATTGGTGGTTGCTAAGGGTTAGCGATGGTGAAAAGGGGGTGTGTGGCTATAATGCACATCTTTGTCATGATGGGACGGTTCTGTATCTTGACTGTGTGGCTATATGAACCTACAAGTATGAAAGATGACATAGAACTACACACGCACCTTTACCTGGTTTTTGAGATAGTACTGTCATTATGTAGATGTGAGCATTGGGACAACTGGGTGTTTGGCATATGGGACCTTTCTGTACTGTCTTTGAAACTTGCTGTGAATCTTCAATTATTCTAAGATGTTTTTAAATAAATGCATGGGGTGATTAGAGGAAAAGGTATAAAACTTCTTCAGGGAGAGTGTGCAAGGATTACAGTAATGGAAAAAACCATTGAGAAGCATAGCAGGAGGGAAGCCAGGAGTTTCTCTACTGAAACACAAGAGTTAAGAAAGCAGTTGAGTTAGAAATTCCTAGGTTCAAACCAAATACCTTCCCATGTGTTAGCACCTCATAAGGTGATATGATTTTAGTATAAAAAGATTAGGCAATATGGTCTCAAATTAATAAATATATACCAATGTTAATATTATATACACATTATACATGCATAGAAAAAAACTGAAAGAAAATGCAAAAAGTATGAACAGTGCTTCAATCCAAGTGGCTAAATTGCTATCGTAACTCCATTTATTCCAGATACTATGCTGGGCACTGTATTCTCTTCACTTAGTCCTCACAACTACCCTGAGATGGCCACTATCATCCCCATTTTCACAAATGGGAAAACTGAAGATAAGGACAATTAAAAAAAAAAAAACCCTGCCCAAGGTCATGTGATATGCAAAATAGCACAGGTGGGATTCAAACACAGGCCTGTTTGGGAGTGTGATTTCTATTTTCTTCCATGTCTTGATATGTGTGTGTGTTGGAGTTTTTGTAGGGAACACATAATATTTATGAAGTCTGAAAAGAAGCAGTGAATAGTTAGTGGCCCCAGGGCCTGGTTATATGAGCATGTTCTTGAGTTGTTGCTCCCTGGATGAGTTGGCCTGAGTTTGGGGCATTTGTCACTCCTAAGCCAGCCATTTTCCATCCTGGCCCTAAAGGTACAAGATGACTTTTAAATACAGCACCTTCTTGCAAAATAGCAGTACCCAATGTTTATGGAGCACCTAGTATGTGCCAGGCACTGGACTAAGTGCTTTGCACAGAGACTTCATTCAATTTCAGCACAGCTTGATGCATCAGATATCAGAACCTGTGTTTACAAGTCAGGAAACTGAGGCTGATGTTAAGTGACTTTCCCCCCAGATCACACCTCCAGAAGGCAGGGAGGGCTAGATTTGGACTCCATTTCCTTAGACACCATGGTCTGAGCTGTTGACCATGATCACTTGCCACCTTTCTGTCCTGTGTACACCCAGCCAAGGTCCTCTGCTGTGCTTATTTCTTCTTGGACATAACATCCCCTCAAATGACCCAAGGGAGGCCATCCAAGCACCAAGGAGATTGCCATGGTCACATAGGTGGGATGTTTATCCAAGTACCTGGTTGAATATCAACCTCTAACCCACTAGATAGATAAGGACATTGAGAGCAAATCAAGAGTGGCCAGGATTGGGGTGGAAGTTGTCCATCCCCACATCCCATGGGCTGCCTCTGCTATTTTAAGATGTACATTATGGGCCTCCCTTGGTCCCTTCTCTGGTCAGAATTTGTCAGGAAAACAGACCTTCTTCAACTGGGAAGGCTCTCCAAGTCATTTGGTGGGATCCAGGCTGCTCGAGAACCATCAGACTCCCATGTTCCAGGCAAGGTACATTGCACCTGTGGGACCTGTCAGTCCTCCCTATTTTTTCAAGGCTACAGGAATTGTTCTTAGTTTGAACTCTGGCTCAGACTGCTCCAAAGCCTCCTCCAGCAGGCTTCTCTCATTTGTAGGGCAACCAGGAGGAAGGAAGGAAGAGAGGGAGGGAGAGAGGAAGGGAGGGAGGTCTCAGGGACAGGCAATGAAGTCAACTGAGACAGCAAGTGATTTGGTGGGGCAGCTAGGTAAGGAGCAAGGCCAGCAGTCAGGGACATGACCGCATTAGATGGGCTCCGTCCCCCAATAGTCCCAGGAGGGTCCCCTTTATGGGTTGAGCACAGCACAGGCCTTCTTGACAAAGGAGGAATCCAGCAGTGGAGCAGGAAGAGAGAAAGCTGGTGGGGAAGACCAGATGTTGGAAAGGATTGAGGAAAGAGAGAGAACAGAGAAACAGGCAGAAGCAGGGCCTGGGGAAGAGGAGAGAGGCAGAGACGTGGATAAAGAGACAAGAAGTAGTGCTGCTTGCCCTCAAGGTGCACAGTCCACTGGAGGGGGCAGCAGCCCAGGGGCTCTTATTGTCATACAGCCAGGAATCTTGAGAAGGGGACCAGGACACTAGAAAGCAGTTCTGCTCTGAGCAGTTTTCCCAAGGAAGTGGGACTGAAATCAGGTCTGGAAGGACGATAGGAATTTCAGAGGCACAAACAGGCACATTCTAGGGACCAGGCTGGCTGAAACAAAGGCCCAGGGTGGAGTGCTCTATCCAAGGAATGGGAAAGGCCTGGTGAAGCCAAGCCTGGAAAGGGAGGTGGGACCAGGCTGTCTGGGGTCCCCCTGGAGAGGGCAGATGGACTGAGGAGCATCTGCAGAGCCAGGAGAGTCACGGCCAGCATTGTCCTGAAAGAGAGGTGCTGCAAAGTGACCCTCAGGCCACCAGGAAGGGCAGAGTCCTACAGCAGGAGCCCTGGGGAGAGAACAACATCTGCACTTATTCTTAGAAGCCTTTTTTCTTCCTCTTTCTGATTTTGAGAACAATACATATTGATTATAAGAAAATTAGAAAATATAACAAATCATTAAAAAGCAAGTAAAAATCACCCACAGTTTCACACTGTGTTTGGAATATTAATTTAAAAATAAACCCCTTCACCCTCCCCCAACACTGTTTGATTCATTTATTCAGTTCATATTTCCTGAACCCCTACTCTGTCCTTATCATGAGCACTGTTGTATTCTAGTGGAAGGAGGAGAAACATGGCATATACAATAAACATAGCCAATAGTGAAAATATAAAATGTTAGATATTAACTAATATATATTAGATATATAGATAGATAGATAGATAGATAGATAGATTTTTTTTTTTTTTTTTTTTTTTTTGGTGCCGGGGATTGAACTCAGGTCCTTGCGCTTGCACAGCAGGCAGCGAAACCACTGAGCTAAATCCCCGGCCCCGTATATTAGATATATCTTAATTAATATAAAGTGTTAGATATTAAGTGCTATGAAAAAAGAAAATGCCAAGCAGGAAAAGAGAAGGGGAAGGAGACAAGTAGCAAATTTCAAATATGGGGTCTAGATTGGCTTCTTTAGCATTTCATATTTTTGCTATGCTTTCATCTCACGCAGGATACATTCATAGATATACATTCATAGATAGGTACTACTTGAGATTTTTTTAAATAAAAATGATGATATTCCTCCACTTGTTCTAAAAACTTGCTTTTTTTCCTTCCCTTAACGGTATAGCCTGGCCATTACTCCAAGTTTATGCACAGTTCTTTTGTTTTCTTTCAGTACTGTAGAGTATTTCACCATGTGGCAGCAATCATAATTTATTTACAAGTCCCCTGTGGATAGACAGCTAGATCATTTCCAGTTCTGAGCAGTTTGAGGTGAGAAGGGGGCTGTCCAGAACCCAAATCCAAGAAAGGCCTGCCTTGGGCTCTGCTTGACTCAGAAGCAGAGTGGGGCCGGGCTGTGCAGGAAGGGGAGGGAGATCATGGGCAGAGGGGGCTGCAGGAGGAGCAGCACAGTGCACCAGCTGGCCCCAGGTGACCCTGCTCCCATCCTCCCTCCATTAATCATGCCCTACCTCCCCCTGACTTTGTCGCAAGGTGTTGTGAGCAGGTGTGGTACATGGACATGGGTGTGAATGCACACACTCACGTGTCTCTCCACAAACACTCTCCTCCACCCTTCCTTTCCCATGGGCACCAGGGCAGCCAGCTCAGAGCTGCATTCACTGGCCCTCAGCTGCCCGCAGTAGCCTCTGTCAGTGCTGCAAACTTTGCTGAGTCTTCGTGCCAAAGCAGAAGACCCAGACCCGCATATGCACCCCAACTCCCTCTGCAGACCTGGCCTGCTTGGCATTGCACAATAAAACTCAGAAACCTCACAATACCTTGTTCTCCATGGATCCCAAGGGCCCATTCAGCTTCACAGAACACTGCCGGGGTCATCTTATAGGCCTGTCCCTTCTCAGTGGACCCTACCTGCCCATGCTCAGATGAGCCCCAGCCTCATTCTACAGCTCCCACACTGCCCAGCCCTGTCCCTGCTCCTACCAGGGGCAGACCAAGTGCCAGCCTCATAACCAAGCATTTCTGCGTGTAGTGGTTGTGGATGCTCCCGCTCCAGCCCCACGCAGCCACTACTCCACATCACATATCCCGACTCCCCATTTCCTGCCTGGCAGGGGCTGAGCCAGCTCACTACCAGAAAATAGAAACAAGTGCCAATAATCTACTTGCCCTAAAGAGCCCCCACCATGGTCACTCCCTCAAGCAGCCTGCTGACACTGGCAGCACCCCCCCCACCCACACCCCCGCTTCCTTTCAGCTAATTGTCTGCAAGTGACTCAGAGCTGCCTCTGAGCCGGCTGGTACTCATTTAGGGAAGGAAAATTCAGTAACCCACATAAAAATCGCTTTATTAAAGTGCAAAAATATTCCACCGACTGTATTCCCACCATCTGTTTTGCTTGTAATTCTTCTGAAAAGTGCAATTCTCTGTGCTTCCTTGGCCTTTGTCCTTTAAAAGCTGCCAGAGTCATCTCCCTGCTGCTCGTGACCTGTATGCCTGGTGTTAAGGGGCCTCCTCTGCAGATCCCTCCTCTCCCTGTGCACAGCCCTTTCAGACTGGCCAGCTTGAAGGCTGCTGCAGTGAGGTGCAGTGTCTGGGAGCCCAGTCCCCTCAGTTAGGCAGCTTAATGCACCCTGGGGCAGAGGGATTAGATTATCTAAGGACGGGAGCCTGAGTTCAACTGTAGTGCAGACATCCCCAAGCCACTTCATCTCACCAAGCCTCACTGCCTACATCTGGGGAATGGGTATGAAATGTTCACCTCTCAGATATAAAGGCCCTAAAATCCCTCCTAGTCACCTCTCCCCGACCCCGTCTAAGTCACATTCTCACACTCTCCTGCCCCCTCTTTCAGCTTCTCCGTGGTCTTCAAACTCGCCATGCCATTGCACACCTCTGGACCTTTACCTTGCTCTTCCCTCTGCCTGCAGTTTTCCTTCCTTCCCTTCTCTGCCTTACAAACTCTTACTCCTCCTCCCAAATGAAATGACTGACCTCTGAGTGGTACCGATGTTATTCCCACACCGTCCCAGTTTACTATAATATAATCATTTGTGTTCATCGCTTCCTTCCTCCAGAATGAGGTCTGGGTCCTTCTCAGGCATGCTGGATTCCAGATCACTTTGCAGTGCTTGCCACATGGTGGCTGCTGGGCATGCGAGCAGGGCTGTTGTCAGATGGAGGGTCTCAGGGGAGTTGTTTCCGGGTTCTTGGTATCCCAAAAAAAGAATTGAACAAGACAATCAGTGGAAGTAATAAGAGTAAGATTGATTAAAAGCCAGTGAGAAGAGCTCATGGGGCCCATAATGGCAGACACTGGGTCTCTTAAGAACCTGAGAAAGGGCCGGGGATTTAGCTCAGTGGTTCCTCCGCCGGCCTTGCAAGCGCAAGGACCAGAGTTCGATCCCCGGTACCAAAAAAAAAGAACCTGAGATTATGGGAGGATCTATAGCTGGGAACCAAGGGCAGTCATGACCCAGGAGCCTGATTCAGCATACCCAGGTAGAAGGAGAGTTTTTGACCATAAAAGGTTTTTAGAGGAAATGTCATAGCATCCAAAAGCCCAGAGGGAAGTGGAGTATGATCAAAATTGCAAAGCAAATGAGGTTTTTGAAGGCCAGAGTCAAGTACTTTTGGTTTTCCACATGCCTGGGGGTTTTAGGAGGACAGGATGACCTTTATCTGTTGGCTTCCTGACATTTTGACATAGTTGTCCTTGTTCTGTGTAGTTTCTCAATTCTCTGTTGTTTACTTGTCCTTGCTCTACTTCCTACCTCAGGGTGGGTCCCAAAAACGTGGGTTCTGGGATCAGACGGACCTTAGCTGGGTGTGGGCAAGTCTCTTCTCCTCACCAAGGCTCAGCTTTCTCATGTCTAAAATGGAAATCCTAAAACTAATGCCTTCCTTGTGGGAGTGTTGTGAGGATTCGATGGCCCCCCACCATAAAGTTCTTGATACAATTTGGGACACATTGTAAGTATTCACTGTTATCAACAAATGGAAGCCCTTTGGGGACTGCGGGGTAACCCTGTAAGAGCTGATGGTGACAAGATGCTAAGGGTGTTGATTAATTGGAGGGGCAGAATTCATACTTCAGGAAATAATTGTGTTTCCCAGGAATGTTGGGGCTCTGGGCCAGCACCCCCACCTTACAAACAAAGAAACTGAGGCCCAATGAGTATGCCTAAGTACTCCTAATGCTGCTTCTCAGCTCTCCTGGGTCTGAAGGGAGGAAGGGAGGGAAGAAGCCGGACTTGGAAGCCCACTACAAGTGCAGGCTGTAAATTTCTGGTAGTCTATGAATATTCTGACTCTTGAGTTATTTGTGGCACTTCAGTCAAGCTAGAAAATGTATTCATGTAGCTGTTCTGTTGGTATAGGTGAGAAACATTTGCTTTTCTTGATCTCCTTTTCTTTAATTAAAAATGTTTACTTTTTACATGAGCTACTTACTTTGGGCACTGTATACCCTAAAAATGCCAAATCTCTTACACCTCAAGATTCTTCAAAGCAAGGAAGCAAAATTGTGGCCCGCCCTCCCCACCCCCGTTTCCACGCCCTGGAGTAGCGGGTGAGAGAGGAGTGGGGACGGCAGGGAATTCTTTTCCGGCTTGATAAAGCAAAACCCTGAATCCTGAAGGCTGGGACTAGAAGGAAAAAGAGTCTGTGGGGAGAAATGGGGCTGTGAGTCCTTGCCCTGAGCCTCTCCCCGTGACTGCTGCCCCTGCTTGGGCTCTTCCGGAAGGCGGCACCTGGTCTTTGCCCGCATTAACTTGCCGCACAGCAGCAGCAGCATGGGAACGGTCTAGTGGGACTTCTCTGGAGGCAGGGTGAAGTAGCGGGAGCAGGGTGGACCAGACAAGGAGGACTGGGAAGCTGGATGATGTGGCTGGCAAGGTCGCCCGTGACATCCTGGGACTGGGAAAAAGATAAAGCTAGGCCCTACCCTCCAAAACGATGCTGTGATGCTGTGATGCTGTTTGGCCTCTGTACACAGGTCTCTACACCTGATTCTCTTAGTCTTTGCGAAGTTTCCAACCCCTTTTTAAAAATACTAGAACACCTTTTATATATCAAAATATCTCGCAGACAACCAACCCTCTCCCCCCTAGTAGCTGTCAATGCCACATCCATTGGCAGGTAGTAAGAATCAAAAGCCAGTACCAGTTCAATAGGACTTTTCAGTGTGAGTGGTTTTCTAACAGTATCTGGGTACATTAGGAAAAAATAATAGAGCGTGCATGTGGGTGACCTGTTATTTATTCAGCCCAGAAATGCTGTTTACAGGGGTATATGGATTTGAGGACCCTAGCAGGACCCAGTGCCCCACCCCTCACCTGGTGGGTAATCAGGCAGTAGCTATGCTCTCCCTCCATATGTGCTAAGCACAGCCCTTCTTGCCCCATGACTGGACCAGTGGTACCGCCTCTACCCAAAGGTGAGGTCCATCCCCCTCCTCCGCACCCAAATCATCACCATTAGCCTGACCTTGCCACAGGGACTAACCTGTTTCCCTTTGCACTTGACAAATCTTTCCAACCTGCTTTCTGCCAATGAGGTAGGGCATTGCTTTAAGGGTGTGTGCACATAGATTAGCCATGAGTAGTATTGTCTCAGCTTTGCTGTCTTTTGTAAACATCTCGGTTCCATAGAATGGTCTTTCTTCAGTGCCCTTTGCCCCATCTTTTCCAGGTCTTTATTTATAGGTCAGGTCAAGTGCTTCGTCGCCTAGAACCTGTCCCTGGACACCCTACGTAGAAGGGCCCCCAAACAGCTACCTAGTCCTCTTTACCCTGTTACTCTATTTTGGTTTCTTGGTGGAGCTTGTCAATATCTGGCATGATTTATTTGTTCGTATGTTTGCTTGTCTTCCACGTGGAGAATGGAAGCCCCATAAGAACAGGGACATTCCTGGTGACAAAAGAGGTCCTGGCCCCTAGCACAATTCCATTAATAGAAATAAAAGAGCCATGCCCAGAAGTACACAGTGAATGAGCTGCAGAGCTGGGAGTCATCCCCAGGTCTGCCAGCCACCTCCTCCCCACCATGTTCTTTCTAAATACCCAGTAAGTGGTAGAACCAAGATTAGAACCCTGGGCTCCAAAGTTGACCTGTTTACTACCACACCTTCCATCTCCTCAGACTCAGACTGTTGGCTAGAATATAAGTTCTACAGCTGTGCTGTCCAGTATGGTAGCCACCAGCCATCTGTGTTTATTTCCATGTAAATTAGTTAAAATTGAGTGAAATTTAAATCCAGTTCACTAGTCCCCACTTCAAGAGCTCAACAGCCACAGGCGGCTAGTGACTACTGTACTGGACAGGATGGGTACTGAACACTTCCACCACTGCAAAAATTTCTATTGGACAACATTGCTCTATGGAGAGAGCACCTTGAATCTGGCTTATTTCCCCAGCCCTTAGAAGAACGATCCATTAACAGTTTTATTGAATGAATGAATGAATGAATGAATACATGCCCATGCTTTGACTGAGCCGCTGTCTCCTCTGCCACTGACCTCTCTCCTTCTTCCCACAGGAAGAGACGAAGCCTGCAGTGTGGAGGTGACGTGGCCAGATGGCAAGATGGTGAGCCGGAGCCTGGCCAGCGGGGAGATGAACTCGGTCCTGGAGATCTCCTACCCCCAGGATGAGAACAAACTTCAGAACCCAGCCCCACTGGAGGTGGGCCAAGGCATCTGGGCCTCATATACAGAAAAGCAGGCACCAGCCACAACTTTTAGACTAATCTGTAGACTTGGGTTGTAAATGATGGAAATCTTAGCAAAGGGCAGGATTCAAAATGATTCCTCCATTTGTAGTTTGCACAATATCATCACACTCATATCTTTTCTGCTTCTCATAGAAATCCTGGAGCATTGTCAGGTCAACTGTTTTTGCACCTGTTTTACAGAGGAGGAAAACTGACACTAAGAGGAGGAAGGCACCCTAGCCCTACTGAGGCTGCATACCCAATTACGAGCAGGGTTAAGAATTGACCCTCTGGGCCAGGAATTTAGCTCAGTGGTTCCGATGCCTGCCTCGCAAGCACAAGGTCCTGAGTTCGATCCCCGGTACCAAAAAAAAGAAGAAAAAAAAAGAATTGACCCTCAGTCTCCGCTTCCCTGCAGATGCTTTCCAAGTCCCTGAGGAGGCCTCCTATTGCCCTAAGTGGGGGGGTCTAAGGCCCCATACCAGGGCCTCTTAGGACTCTTCAAGGAAGCGACTTGAACTGATATCTGGTCCAGCTCAGGCACACATCCCATGTGCAGGCAAATGAGCAGGAGTTTGAATTATATGTTCTTGGTTTCCCCTCCCCACATTCTCAGTACAAGGGAAAATGTACTAGAGGGAGTGGCTCCCCACAGGCCTGAGACTAAGAGCATCCTTCATGCTCAGGTCAGGGTGACAGCTGCTCTGTGGTTCTGACTAGGAGGGGACCTGAGAAGAGACCTTTCTGACTCACCAGTATCTCTGCTTCTGCCCACTTTGCAGTGCGGCCAAGGATTCTCCCAGCAAGAAAGTGGCCACTGCGTGGGTGAGTTGCCAGAAGGCACAAGGGGATAGGGCAGGGGCTGGGATCTCTCCCAGGCATGTCAGTCAGACCTGCAGCAAGGTCTGGGGTGCAGACAAAGGGTGGAAAGGGAGGGAGAGGAAGATGCTGTTTGTTTCAGGGCTCCAGATGCCAAGACAACTGCCATGTGACTCACCAAGTGATGTTAGTGACTAGTAGGCTGAGTCACCACAGTTCTGGGTCTTGGCAGTGCCTGCAATGAAGATAGAACAGCCTGGAGAGGAGACATACTACCGCATGGACATTGAGGTCCATGGTGACTGGGGGGTGAGCGTGCTTCACCCTAGCACAGGTGGAATAGCTATGTGCCTTGACCAGCCAGGGGAGCAGCCAGCAATGGGCCTGTTAGGCAAGCGTGGGCATTGCTTGTGGAATTTGGGCAAAATGGTGTGGAGTGTGTCACAGTGCAGATGGGAGGTTGCAACTTGGTGCAGTACTGGGGGTCAGGTCACTGTGGTACTGCCAAGTGGCCGCTCCTTGAGCGTCCAGTGACCTGCTGAAAGTTCCCAAAGCCCTGGAATGATGAGAAGGGGCAACCTAGGGGCAGTGTCCAGAAGATGGTCAAACTAAAGTCTTCCTTCCCAGTGCAAGGCAATGAGGGATCAGGCCAAAGAGTTACTCCTTCCCTAGACCAAATCCAGGAGTGAGCCAGACAGACACAGCCCTGCCCCTGAGGCGCTTATAGCCAGTGGAGAAGCCCACAAGTGAACCGCTTATGACCTCACAGGGAGATCGGTGTTGGCATGGACAGAGGCAGGAGCTTGGGAACTCAAAGGTGGCAACTAAATCAGTCTAGGGAGGGTCCTTGAAGGTGGCCTAGAGTAAACAAGATTGAAGCTGGGACCTGACAGATGATGAGGAGTTGGACAGGCACAGAGTGGGGCAGCAGTGTTCCACAGAGGCCCTGCCAGGAAGGACACAGCTACAGGAGTCAGGGAGCAAAAGGTGACTCCTCAACACCCTGTCTCCACCTAGCCTCATTCTAAACAGACAGTGAGGCACGCAGAAGCTACAGTTTTCTCTTCATGCCAAAAGACTCTTCAAGGCAGTCAGTCCAGCCTCTCCTCCTTTTCATCATTCAGCAGCCATAGATGTGCCTCCTCTGTGGTACCAAGTAACATCTGGGTGCTGGGGATGCAGCTCAAGCACCTGGCGTGAGGAAAGCTCATTCTAGTGAGAGAGGCAGCAGGACCCGAACATGGGATCACATAGCTGAGTAAGGTGGTTTAAGAACCCTATAAGCAAGGTCCTCTCTGGAGACTGTTCTGGACAGAGAGGACCTTTAAGCTAAGTCCTGAAGAATGAGAAAGATCCAGCCACAGGAAGAGCTGAAAGGAGAGTTTTCTTGGAAGATGGGAGAGCAGGGACAGAGAGCTCTCGTGCATTAGAGGGGTTGCAAGCCTGAGATAATGAGGAGGAGGGCCATGTCCCGCAGGGGCTTGAGGCTCCAGGAGGGATTCTAGATTTTGTTTTTAGGAACCTTGGAAGTTAAGCGAAAAAGTGACCTGATGCAATTCACATTTTTAAAAGATCACTCTGGCTGCTGGATTGCAGATTGGATTGGAGGGAAGAATAGAAGCCAGGAGGCCAGTAAGGCAACAACTGGAGAAATCCAGGCAAGAGATCATGGTGGCTGGGAAGAGAGTGGTGGTAGATGAGTGAGAAAAGTGGACAGACAAGAGTACAGTGGGGGGCAGGAGGGATAGGGCATTCTGTGGGATTGCATATGGTGTAAGGAGAAGAGAGAATTCAGGAATCACTCCAATTTCTGCTGGAGCAGCTGAGTGGATGGTGGTAACATTGATTGAGCTAGGAGAGATGGGAATTGGGCAGAAGAGATTTAAGGTTCAAGGGAAATCTAAAGTTCTGTTTTGGATAATTAAGTTTGAGGTACTGTACATATTAGACATCCAGGTGTCAAGTAGGTCATTGGTGATTGGATTCATAAGTCTGGAGCCCAGAAGAAAGGTTATGGCTGAAGTTTGCATTCATCTATGGATAAAGGGGTCACCTACAGAAATTATGGTGGGCAGAAAAGAAGATCCAGAACCAAGCCTCAGTGTATCCCTCCCCCAAATGTAGAGGTCATGTACAAGAGGAGCCAGCCAAGGGGACTGAAGTCAGGAAAAGGGACCTGTCCAGTGAGGAGAAGGGACCTGCCCAAGGTCACAGAGTGGGTGGGTATACCAAGCCTGAGCTACGACCCCCTGCCCCACACCTCCCTGGTGAGTAGCCCCTCCCTCACCTTTCAGACACCAATGAGTGCATCCAGTTCCCATTCGTGTGTCCTCGAGACAAGCCTGTGTGTGTCAACACCTATGGAAGCTACAGGTGCCGGACCAACAAGAGGTGCAGTCGGGGCTACGAGCCCAACGAGGATGGCACAGCCTGTGTGGGTGAGTGAGTCCCCAGCCACAGTCCAGTAGCAAGGGGAAGTTGCCATCCACTGGGGAGTCCTGGGTGGGCTCCAGATCAAGGTCCCCAGCCCCTGCCTTCTCCTGTATGGACAGAGCCACCTTAGACTCATTTTGGGTCTCCAAGGAAGACCATGACAGAGGCTTGGAGAAGTCCCATCACTGCTACCACCACCTGAATGGCCTCAGGTGCTGTGTCCTGGCCTGAGGCTATTGTTCTTCTCACATCTCCTAAAACTCGTGTTCCTACCTTGAGGTCAGCCCATATTTTCATAGCTGAGATATGAACTAAGAGTTATCTTTTGGCTGAATTTCTGAACTGGTGTTTGTCTTCTTCCTCCCAAACTCTTTCCTTCCCATCCTACCCCTACCCCACCTTCTCTCTTCCCCATTCTCTATCTCCCTGCCTTACCTTTTTGCAGCTCAAGTGGCCTTTTTAGGTGGGTATTCTTCATCTGCCTTTAGAATCTCTGAGCCTCTCACTTGGGCCTCATATCTTTCTCTAGGCCTTGGACTTTGCCTTCAGTTATATGCACTTTAAATCCCATCAATAAAGGAAAAAACAAAACAAACTAACAACCTTTGTGGAAAAATAAATCTCTCCAGCTGCCTGTCTTTCTCTACACCCAGTAGACTCTGCCCCGTGTTCCCTCTAAATGGACAGCAGGGGGTGGCCGTCTTTGAAAAGGGAAGTTTGGGAGATACTGATACAACCATAGTTGTTTGGGAAGCCTTTATTTGCACGTTTTCTGAGAAAACAAAAAAAGGAAGTCTCCCTTGTCCCATCTAACCTCCCTCACTCCTTCAGAAGAATCAAGATAGTCCTGTCTCTTCTGTTTCTTCCAGTATCTTGGGAGTTTATTTTGCCCTTAACAAACATGGCTCCCAGGTGGCTGCTTGCTTGGTTGATTCGATAATGTATCATGTGCCTGCTGCTTTGGCCTGTGCTGTTGCTGCTTTGTGTGCCCTGAATTCCTGTGGTAGCAAAAGCCCTATTGGGGTTGATGGTGATGATGGGAGGGCAAAGGGTGGCCCTTTGGGACTTTTGATAAAAATGTTAAAGTTTGAACTTGCTAAGTCTTCCAGCCTCTTTTCTGGAGAAATATGCCAATAAACTCTCTACTAGATATTAGCACCTAGCTGGTAGGGCAAAAAAATGTGTCTGAGCAAGTAGATACTAGTTGGAATGCTGAATTAGGAACAGACCTCCCACCAGGAGATGCACGGAAGGCAAGTCATGATACAAGGAAAGCAACACTCTCAGACATGGACAGTGATTTGGGTGTATGCAACAATCTTCACATTTGGGGAGCCAGGGTTTGGACCAGGAAAGTGTGTGGAATGAGCAAGGGACAGACTTAGGAGGAGTATTCTGGGCCTTTTATTTGGGAGAAGTCACATCTCCACCACAGGCCTCACTTTTCCCTAATCTAAACGGTGAGAGAATTGGGCTAATATTCCTCTAAGGGTGTTTTGTTTTGTTTTTGCTTTGCTTTGCTTTGTTTTTTGAGACAGTCTCACTGTGTAGTCCAAATTGGCCTTGAACTTATTATAGTAAGGCCAAGCTAGCTTTGAACTCACAGCGACCCTCCTGCCTCAGCCTCCCAAGTGCTGGGATTATAGGTGCACATCACCATGCCCCACTAGGACTCTTTCCTTTCTAAGACTCTGCAGTATGTGGCTGGACATAGACATGAGTAGTCTCCAGCTACCCTGATTTATAGAAAGATCCTTGCAACTCAGACTTCACAGTATCCTTGGAAACCTGGAAGTTCCTGAAGCCTGAGCAGCCTTTGAGCATAATATAACACCACAGAATATGCTCATAACCAGCCGCAGGTAATGAAGACATGTTATAAATCACAGAACTGTTCTTCATGGGGAAAAAAGTTGCTCCAAGATATAATAAAATCACACTTAAGAATGCAGCAATCCTTTTAAAAACATATTTAACAAAAAACTACCCTTTTCTGATGTCATAATAACACTCCCAATAAATCACAAATATGAATTCCTTATAGCTAGTGCTGTTTTTACACTTAGAACAGGAGCTTAAATGAAAAGTTTTTAAATGAAAACAGCTACAATTTCTCTGAGAAGCATATAGCAACTAAAAATCGCTCTACTTCTAGAAAGCCCATTCCTGTGTATTGACACAAATTAAAGATCTGGAAAGGCCTGAGAGATGAGGCTCAGAGAGATGAAGTGATCAAGGTCACTCTGCCCCAGCTCACAGAGCCAGCTGGTCCCCAAACCAGGTTGGGAGCCTTTCCTACTGTGCCTCTTGTCAGAGGGGCCGTAGGCTCACACTATTCTCCAGCCGTTCTGGAAGCTGCTGCCTTTTTAGAAATGAACAAGTAGATCTCCGATAGTGAGATAAGCAAAAACCCAAAGCACACGTAAGAATGGTTGCAAATGCGGGGGTAAATGACAAGATAACAGAGCCCATTAGCTGGCCACACACAACAGCAGGAGAAATAAGGGACAGAACAACTAGTGAGAAGCCAGTCAAGAACATCAGGATCTTCGGGATGACACTAGATCTCAGAAGAGGCCTTGAACTCCCGCACATTGAATTTCATTGGTTGGAGGGGTAAGGTGCACAACAAAGAGGCATTCAAGGTCCCAGCCATTTGGAACCCAACTATAGCATCCACACTCCAGTGTAGGAAGGCTTTCCATTTGATCCATTTGTTCATTCAACAAATATTGGCCGGACATCTGCTGTGTGCCAGGGACTGAGCTGGGGTCAGAGCATCCAGTGTTAAGCAAAGGAAACATGGTTGCCGTCCCCTCGCTGCCTACCTTTGCCCCGATGGAAGAGCTGAGTGCAGGGATTGGAAAAGAACACCAAGAGACTCTGAAAAGTCTAGCTAAATTCTTGGGTTCCTGCACCAGGAAGCAAGTTCTCTCAATCCATTCATTCATCCATATATTCACTCAGCAAGCATTTATTGGGACCCTCCTTGTGTGACAACTCTCAGTCCCTCCCATGAGGAAGGTGACAAGCTCCCTCCAATGAAAAGGTCAAGTATGTACTCCAGAGATGCTTGGGTGAGAAAAATGTAAAGCTAAAAAATACAGAGGACAGGGAGGTACTGAATTAACCTTTTCTGCCCCCCCAAAATAGGGCCCATTCAGTGAGCTAGGAAACCAGGCTGCCAGACCCAGGGGCCTCAAGTGCAGTACATTTACCGGCGCATACTTTACCAGCCACACAGATGTGTGGGTGCAAAGCCACACCCTGGCTACCCAGGCCCAGAATTTTCAGGCCCCTCTTTCCTCTGATTCTTCTTTCTCTGAGACCCATAGAGTCCAAACCCTTGCTGTACCCTTCAAAGCACAGAGAAGTCCCATAGCCCCACTTGGACTCCTGACATCTTTGTTGGATTATACTGGACTTGAAGATGTAACAAAAATAGCACAGGCCTTCAGGGGCAGGTGAGGAATGAAACGGCCTGGGGAGGGATGATGCAAATGGAGGGGCCACAGCCCATTCCACCTGAGCGGTGACATCAGCCTGTGTTGCTAGACTTCCCATTTTTCAAGTAAAGCCAAAAACTAAGAGTAACAACAGCACCATTTTCATTCTGTCCAAGAATAGAGCCTCTCCCCAGTAATATACCCCTGGAAATAACAATAATAGCTTACACTTAGTGAGTGCGGCATGTCTGGGTCAGATCTAAACTCTACAAGAATCCTTAATCCTCACAACAATCTCAAGAGGAAAGCACTACCATTTTCCCAGTTTTGCAGATGAGCTAAGTACTGTCAGGGTCACAACAGCTGGGACAAAGGCAGGATTGGGTTCTACTCATGTCCTCTTCATTTGGGTGGCTGACTGGTTTACACAAAAGCTACAATCTTTCATGCTGCCCTGAGTCATGGTCTGGGCCAGAAATGGAGAAACAGGCAAGGGAAACCGGCCCGTCCTCCCCAAGGTTATGTCCAATCCTGCAAGAAGAGTTGACCTTACTGGTGAGGAGAGCATCCTTCTCTGGGGCAGAATGGCGAATTGTCTGCCACCCACTTTCAGCATGTACCCAGTTGCCAGCCCTGCTCTGGGAAGGTGCCATTCTGAGGGCCAGGAGTTTGATTATGAGTCACTCTGGCTGCTATGGCCCCCTCCCAGGGTCTGGGGATCACACTCAGACTGGTGTCGTGGAACTCCAGCCCAAGCAAAAACTCCACTGTAACCTCCAAGAGCCACATGAAGAAAGGAGAATGAACACTTCATTTTTTCCAGGCAGCCAGCTGAGCTTTTCCACAGATTCCAGACCAATACCTCCACCCAGACTCCAGCCCAGGAGGCAAGCTGAGACCCTCCCATCATCTCCCTCTTCAGTATAACCCCTCCTTTTGCTCCTTCTGTGGGGCCACAACCCCAGACAGGAGGCCAGGAACCTGCCAGGGACTGATGCTGTGTCTCCTTAGCAACAGGCACATCCTAGAAGGAGGAAGAAGGAGGGCAAGAGAGCTTGAGCTGGTTAACAGTGAAGGTAATGCCAACCTCTGCCTCAGCAGCTCTGTCCTCTTAAGGAACTGCTGTTGAACAGTGAAGTGGTCAAAGGGTAGGACATCAGGGGAAAATGAGAAGCAAGAAAAGAAAAAAAATGTCCTCAGGGAAAGAAGCTAACATTTATGGAATCCAACCATATGCCAAAAACTTTACATACATGTCTCCATCAATCCTCACACCCACCCTAAAAGAGTGGCCACAGCGGGCCACAGCCAATTTCCCAGACCCAGGCTATGCTATGTTCAGCTTAGTGCTTAGAGAGATTACTAAGAGATCCCAGAGAGAATAGCCATAAAGTAAGAGACCAGAGGAGAGTGGACCAAGGCTACACAGAGCAGAGGTCACTGGAAACTAGTGACCTGGCCTGGAGATTTGGCGTGCAACGCTCTCAGAATCTTAGAGCATTAAATCCAGAGGCAACTGAGGCCCAAAGAAGCATTGTAACTTTCCTGAGGAACACATGAATCTGCGTCCCTGTTGGGCCTCCTCTAGGCCAGTCTGCCTGCTGCTCCTGCAAGGAGCTCAGCCTAGTGCCACACACACACACACACACACACACACACACACACACACACAGAGTCTCCTCTAGAAAAATCCAAGCATTTTAGAAACATATGCATATAAACAATTTCAGGAATAAGGGGGACAGTGCTGGTTCTTCCCATTTTGCTGACATAAAAACTGAGCCAGGCCTTGTCCCCACCAAATAAACAGAAGACCTGTTTGTGGGCCTTGGAACACGGGTGAGACTAAGCTCGAATGAAGGGATGGAGTGTAGGAGGCACCTGAGCAGCTGCGAAGAGGGAAGCAGGGTTAGGAGCCCCAGGGATAAAGCTGAAGCACAGGAGAGTCTGCATCCTCTCTCTCCAGGGAGTCCCACCCAGAGCTCCCTAACAGAAAGAAAGCAGGCTGGGGTCAGTAATTCCCAAAAGGTAACTCTATCTGCATAGCCAGCTCAGAGCAGACAAAAGGAGCTTGCTCCTGAATCACTGTTGCACCCCAATCCACAGGCTAACTTTTTCTCCCTCTGCAGAGCTCTGGGGAAGGAGACACATACACTCCAGTTCGCCAGCTGCTCACAGGGACTGGTAGAGGCACACATTTAGGTCAAATGTACACCCTGTCTGCAATTTCAGGTCCCAGACTCGAGATTTACAGCCCTCAAGGCAGACACAGGGAAAGAGGTATGCCAGGGCACTGTCACGGGAAAGTCTCAATGCCTGAGTCCACTGTGAAAGTCTCCTGTGCCAGAATGCCACGCTTTTTCCTAGACACCTGGGGCAAATCTCCTGTGGCCCTCCTGCATCCCTTCCGTCTAGCCTGAAAAATTTGTCTTTACCAGAAACTCTGGAAAAGACTGAGATTTTAATCCCAGACACTCCACCCCTGCACTCTGAAGTGACCCTAAGCAAGTTATTTCCTCTCTGAGCCTCAGTTTCTTCAGCCACAAAATGTAGGCAATAATAACAACCTTGAGGAGGTGGTAAGGTTCCCAGGAGATAAAGCATGTAAGGCACTCAGCCCAGCACCCGGACTGATAAAATGTAGAGATTATTATAAAATCTCTTCTCAGCCCTTCAGCCTCCTGGTTTCACTTTTAGCAGTGCCTGATTTTACAACAATCTATAAGTCATTAACTGGGTGATATTAGACCTATAAGAATCCTTGCCAACAAGACACATCCATCACTCAGGGTTCATTTGGGAACTGGATGAACACAGCATCTTCCCTTCGAAGAGTCCAGCTCAGTGTTTAGAGCTGCACAAGGAGCACAGGGCCGATCGGTACCCATCCATTCATCTGCCTCTCCAGGGTCTGTAAGCATCCATCTCAAGCCCAGCAGCCTTGGGTTCATCAGTCATCTCCCTGTAGCCAGCCATCTTCTCTGTGCCCATCCACTTATCTGTCTATTCATCTATCCATCTACCCATCTGTCCACCCTTGGTGCTTCATCCTCTATAACCCCAGGCCTAGACTTCTGGACAAAGCATTCAGTCCCAGAAGGATTTACCTTCCCCCAGATCATGATATTTAGGAAGCCAAGCAGAGGCTGAGTGGAGTCAGGGTGTTTTCTTCCTTTTCTCCTCTCCCAAAAAGTCAGAACAGAGCCACAAGAACGCAGCCTGAGTGACAATACTGAGAGCTGCTGCCCAGTGCAATGACAGCCTGCAGTCACTTCTTTTACCCTTTGAGTTATGCAGTGGCCACTTGTAGTTAAATTGTATCACTCAGTGACCACTGCCCATCTGCTTCAGCCTGTACTACTACTTCTCAGTGGCACATTGCTCCAAGCTTGTGGGTTACACAGTCTGTTCTCCCACTTTCTACCTGCCTGTGATGGGCTGCACCAGCTGTCACCTGCCAAGGGTGAAGCCCTGTGACAGGCATTGGGGCAGAGAGGCGGAAGTAGGAATGAGTAAAAGACCCCTCCTCAAAGAGCTTACCAGTTAACTGGGGTGGGAGAGAAAAGAGCCCTCACCATACCTGAGGCCTTGTAAGCAGTGCACAACATTTCCTCTTCCCAGGCCTCGCTCAACTCGGCTCTCAGGTGGTAGCTGGTCCCCAATCACTTTTCCATTACAGAAATCGATAATGTGAATTATTCCAAAATAACGAGCACCTCCGTGCCTCTGCAAAACTAATTTTTCTGTGTCTGCATTTGTGCACGTGTTTCACCCTGGGTCTAGAATCTGTCTTTATGAATCAATGAATGGCATCTTGCATCTGACTGTGACATACTGTGGCAGAATGAAGCAGGACTTAGAGTCAGAGACTTAGGTTCAAGTCTTTATTCTGACACTTAGTAGCTGTGGGCTCTTGCCAAGCTACCCAACAATCTGGAACATCAGTTTCTTCATGTATAAAATCAGATTTCGAATACTGCCACCCACCAGAGTGTTAGAAAACTAAATGGAATAATAATGTACATCAGTGTTACTGGTGTATATTAGGAAATCAGTGAACCCTTGGATAAATCTGTTCTATGCAACAATCTGAAACCTGCTATGAATCTGTATCATGAGGCCATTGTAAAATGAGGTCCCAGTGTCACTTCCACATAACAATAATGTCTTACGTTGGAAAAACAGATTATCATTTACAAACAGGCAGTCCCATAATGCTCTCATTTTATAAATGACAGAGCTGAGACTCGGGAAAGTTAAGGAAATTACGGAGTTCCTGGCTGGAGCAGCCCTTGGATTCCCTTCCCTCAAGTTTCTACCTCCTCCTCCCTCCTCCCTAACCCAAAACACATCCCCAGTGCAGCTCCAGGATGCTGCATGTGAACTTCTGCACCCAGCAGATGCTGAAGTGACAGGCACTTTGAACAACCTCTTGGAAGAAGAGCTGTGAGCTCAAACCAGTCTGCCCTTGGTGCTGCCAGGAAAATAAAACCTCCTAGAAGTCTCTTGAGAAGGGTTATGTGGAAACTCCTAAAGGCTAGACTCTGAAAGCAAAGAGAGAAACTGACATTACCAAGTACCTGTTTCCTGCCAGGTACATTCACAGCTGGTTTCTCACTGAACCCTCAAAACCAGTTGTTCCTGGGCCAGGGATGTAGCTCAGTGGCACCACACCTGCCTGCCAAGCACAAGGTCCTGAGTTCAATCCCCAGTACCAATAAAAAAACAGTTGGTCCTAACCTCTAATGGGTCAGGGGTCACATACTCATTTGAAAATCTGCTCAAAGCTATGGATTCTCTCCCCCAGATAAAGGTACCAACTATGCACACAAGTTCAGGGGGACCAAGGTTAAGATCCCCTGGTGTGAACTTGGGCTGTTTTAAGATTTTCTTGGGCACCAGGAACCTTCTTTTCTGGAGGCCCACCCTGAGCATATCAAACACTTTTGTTTATATCCATATCCATATCCACAATGGAAAAAAAATATATATATATATACACACACATCAAATTGAATTCAGTTGTCTTGTTTGATATAATGTGTTACATTCGAAGACCTTTAATAAAAATAATTTCAATTTTGTGCTCTCTCTTGGAGCCAATAAACTTTTTTGGTGAATCTTATTGACATATCACATGTACAGGACAATGCACAGATCTTAAGCACACAGTGCAATGTAGTCTCATGAAGTGAGCACCCCCTGAAACCAGGACTCTGGCCAACAAGCAGAATATCAGGAGCTCCTAGGACTCCCCAGGCCCTTCCCTTTCACCACCCTGTGCCCAGGAGAATTGCAATCCTCATTCTCATAGCATAGGTGATTTTTGTCTCTCTGAATTTGTTTTATGTGGGATCATACAGTTTTTGCTCATTTTGCATCTGGCTGCTTTTGTGGAACCAGTAAGTTTTTTTTATTCATGTCTGAGGTGTTCTCTGAGGCCTATAAAAGCCCCATGATCTCTTGGCACTGTTAGAACCAGGGATTCTTCACCTTGCCTTCACATTACAATCACCAGGTAAGTTTTCAAAATCCTGATGCCCAGACGATGTGGGGGTCCCAGAACAATTGTATCAGAATCTCAAGGGAGAAGATCAGGCATTGGCAGTTTTTCATGCTCCCAGGTGGTACTGGTTGCAGGAAAGGTTGAAAACCTCAGATCCAGGAGTCTCCACCACCATGTACTGATGTCATGATATGTCATGAAGCTGGAGCTCAAATTCAGGTCTGACTTAGGGTGGCATTTATTTTATCTCCTCCCTGGCTAAATAGTGAGGCCAACACCAGGTCAGGGCACCTCCTGCAGGGACCCTCCTCACCCAAAGATGAGTTGTGAGGGACAAGGATTCCCAAGCCAGTGATGATCAGAGGCAGCCCGGCACTGTCCCTGAAGAGAAAGAATCACCACCACTTAACTCCACCTTCATCCACACCTCTGGAAGCCAGGAAAGCTCTTTGCAGATGGTGGCAGCAGAGACTGGTTTGGGGTGAGGGGAAAGATTCTCAGATAGCTCTGTCTGCCACCACTATTGACTCCGAGATGCAGTGCCTGATTCCACCACTTAGTGGCACTCATGGTTCTATAAGCCCTGTGATGGTCACACATCTGCTGCTTTTGGCCAAAGGAAGGAAGCCAGAAGAGAAAGTATGCAGGACAGTTGTGTTAGCATGCCAGGCGGGCTTCGCCCCTAGCAGGGGGCAGGGTGGAGACCTGAGGGCAGCTTGGCTGAGGCAGGAGCAGAGTTCTGCTCCCTGAGTCCTTTGGGGCCTGTCCCTGGCTGGCAAGGAGGATACAGAGACATGGCTGCAACCAGAACCAGGATGGAAACAACTGCCCCTATAACTAAGCCAGTAGAGAGAGGCACACGTAGCCTGGCCTGCAGGAAAGGGTCTTTCCACTCTGCCCTTTACCAGGCTGCCCCTGTGGGTCCCACACACCTGTGAGCACACCATACCATACTTGGGATGCCTTGGGCATGGAGGTACCAACCCTGTCCCAGAGCCCAGATACAGCTTCAAGTCCTTCCCTGAGAGTTTGCCAGATCCTAGCCCTAGGATGGCTGAGAGGTGTCTGAAGCTGGATATCTTTATCTTCTTCCTTGTTGTTTGGAGTCAAACTAACTAGATTTACAGCCAAGCTCTGCCACTTCCTAGTTGTAACTTTGGGCAACTTAACATCACTGTCCCTTGATCTCCTCATTTGTAAAATGGGAATAATAATGATCTACACCATAGAGGGCTGCTATGAGAATTGAACGATGAATTATGTAGCCTTAGCCTAGTGCCTGGCACATAGTAAGTGCTAAATCAATGTTAGCTGTTGTTTATCCTCATTATTATTACTACTGTTTGAAAGTAGGTGGACTGAATGCCTCTCAGCACTCAGTGAATTTTACCAGTTTGGAAATCCTCAGCCTTCTGCAAGGCCTCCACCCCAGAACAGCTTGGCTGGGGTTCAAGTGTGGCCTCAGGAGAGAATAAACTTCCTACCCCAAAGAATACTACAGAATGACCTTCTGTGGGCACTAGAGCACAGCTCCTCTCCCCTAGCCCACACAGCCCAGGTTTGAGCAGAGGCAGAAGTCCAGGCTGCCTGCAGCTTGGTAAATGCCTGGCTGTTCCTTAGGGGCAGTGGCAGAAGCTTCAGAGCCATTCCGAGTCCCATTCAATACCACCCAGAGGGGGCCCATCCTCCCACCACTACCCCAGAGACCCAAGCTATTGCCATACAGTCAGGTCAGATCTGCTCTGGAACAGACCCTTGGTCCACAAACCTGTCATGGTCAGACCTCAGGCGACTTCCTATCTGGATTTCATTCCCATGGTGTCAGAGTGTGCACTAGGTGGGGAAATCTCAGTTCTAAACTCATCAAACAGCTCTATGACTCACTGGGGCAAATCACTCAATTTCTCTGGGCCTCACTATACCTTTATGAGAAGACTCGGGTGACCTTTAAGTCCCCTCCCACCTGTAGTATATGGTGGCACACAGTAGGTGCTCAATAAATGTTTCATTTTATAAAATCCAAGACATAACTGTGCTAGAGTCCAACACCTACCTACTTTCTAGTCTTTAATACTGACTCAGCCCCTCACGAGGGCCAACCTAGGATAAGAGCTCAGGAAATGGGAAAAACCTAATTCATTGTTCAAATACTTTTGGCCTGGCTTTCAGGTGAATCTGCTTCCCTGACCCAAGGCTCCAAGTGCCCCACTACCACCAAAATATTCAGATTAGAGGACCAGGAGTGTCTACCTCCCTCACTAAACTATCGGCTTCAAGAAGCAGAGTCCTCCTGCCCCCATGTTGGGTCTGTGTCCTCCTCAAGCATGCACTCAGCCAGCTGGCTCAGGCCTCTGTGCATCTTCTCAAGTGGAGGGCAGAGAAAGCAGCATGGATCCTAAAGCTGGGCAAGTCTTTTTATTGGAAAAAAGAAATAAGAAAATATCTCCCATGGGAGATGCACATGTCAGACACAAGGCCCAGTGACTCGGTGGGCCAAGCGGGCATAGGCGACAGCTGGGAGTCAGTGCCCACAGTGGAACCCACTGGGCTACAGCTCTCTGGGGGAATCTTTGCACCAGGACTCACTGGGGCGCAGGTTCCCTGAGGCCTCAGGGCTTGGGCCACCCCTCTTCAGCTCTCTGGGTAGGCTCCTGCTCCCACATGGGAAAGTCTAATGGACAACCAGTCCCCTCTTTGGTTCCAGAAATCTACCTGAAGGGGCTTGTGTTTCATAGCCATTTCTAGCACTTCCTGCCAGCTGAGGTAGGCAGCCCCTTTCTGTTCATCTTCAGGGTACTGGACCCAGGCTGCTGCCTTCCCACCACTTCCTCTGGGCTTCAGGAGCCAGAGTACTGCTGACTGGACATCCCCTGTTTCCTTGCAAGGAGACTCCGCCTTCAACCCTGCGGGTTGCTGGCTCTTTTGAATGTCCAAGGAAGCCTCACTTCACAGGCTGAGAGCACTGGAGCCTGGGCAGGCTGAATATGCAGTGTCTGTGGCCCACTGTCTCATTGTGGGGCTGGGAGAGGGGCACCAAAAGCCACCAAAAGGTTGGCTCTGCTCTCCTAGGACCCCATATTGTCTTCTACTAGGATGTGCACAGGGGAATCAGAAGGTGGAAGAAAGACCAGGAGGAAGAGCCAAGAGCCAGGCAAGGGGCAAGGGGCTTTAGGAGCTTGACTTACATACAGAAGCCAAGCTGGACCCACACAGACAAGAAGCTATAGACCATCGTGGAATGAGACAAGGCAGGACTCAAAGAGAAGCAGTCAGTACAGCACCCAAGGGAACACACAAGTACACTCTTGCACAGACACATGCACTCACATGCTCAGACATTCACATTCATACATGTGCATTCATATACACATGCACTGTAAGCATTTACCCAGTACTCTTATTTTATATACGTCTTCATGAGGACATTCGCACTCATGTTCATATACACGTGCACTCAACATGCATTCATGCACATCCGTGTACACATACAGTACACTCGTGTGTGCGCACACTCACATACATTCACATTCACACATTTGTGCAACATGCTCATGAGTGCACTCACATATGTACATGCTTATACCTCACACAGAAGCATGCACACACACTCACACAGGTTCTGATATCTGAACATTGGCTCTGGTGCAGGAAGTTCAAACTCCACACAGCTGTATCTCTGTGCAAAGCCTTGCTCCCCCACAGCACCTCCCAAAGCCCCAGGCTGTGCATCCCACAACCAGCGCCTGGTGGCCTGCAAAGTCTGAGTTGGCATCTTCTTAGCAAGGCCGAGATGGTCTCCAGCTCCAGGTGGAAGACAGGAAAAACAGACCTGGGAGGGGTTAGGAGCAGCTGAACCGCTCCCTGCCATAGCATTCATCTCTCCAGACCTCTGATTCCACAGAGGCAGGATCATGGACAGGCAGGGACCCTATGGTGGCCAGAAAGAGGTGACACTAGGAAACAGTCACAGAGAGCAAGAGAGAGTCCTGGTGGGTGGGCTTCAGGGTGATGAATCATGCAGGGTGGAAAATCTCTAGGCCCTCTCCAGGGTACTGGGGAAAGAAAGAAAGCCACAGAAGAGTCTGCCCTAACTGTTCTCCCCACCCCAGCCTGCCCTAGGAAGTGACTCTGAGCAGCCAGCCTCACAGGGAAAGAAAGGCCCTAGTCAGGAAGTAGGGATCCTGTCTGGGGCGGGGGGGTGCAGGGGTGTCACCCTCCCTCCCACCTCAGGGAAGCAGGGCAGAGCCCAGAGAATGACTCAGAAGCGGGTGCTTTGGTAGCGCAGCCGCCGCAGGTCTGCAAGGCCCTCATTGCGACCGTACACCTCCCTGCAGGGACTCTCGGCCAGTCACCGGGCCCCTGCCCCACCACCCCCGGCGCTGCTGCTGCCACTGCCACTACTGCTGCCGCTGCTGGAACTGCCACTGCTGCACCGGTCCTCGTAGATGGAGATCTCTATCTGGGTTGGTGGTTAAGGAGAGCTGCAGCCACAGGCTACAGAGCAGGGACTTTCGGAGATCAAGTACGAGCAGGGAGCTAAACTTGTGCTCTTTCTGGGTGGTGGAATTGAGGAGTCCTGAATTTCCCAAGCCTGTCCATGTTCACTGATGAATCTAACAGTTACCTAGACTTACAGGACCCAAATCTGATCTGGGTGCAGAGCCAGGATCACAGCAGACTACATCCTGCCCTCAAAAAGCATTATCCTATTCTGGTGTTACACGTCAGGAAGTATGAGGAATTCAGGGTGCTGAATTCAAATACTGGCTTACCCACTCACTCACAAGCTAGGCCAGTCATGTGAGGTCACTTAACTTGTTAACCCTCAATGATGGCATCTATATAATGGGGATAATAGAATCTTGGGATTGCTGTGAAGGTTAAATGAAATAAAG